AGCTCACTCTGTGCCGTGAAATTGGATCAGGACAAAGAGGTTCCAAATATTCACATTTTGAACTGGATTTAGTTAAGGGTGGCTTTGATGGAATACAGTTGATGTAAGAAGTATGACAATTAGTAGGTCCCAATAATTTTAGAATCAAAAGCCCTGACACGAGACTTGACAACCACTACAATACTGACGTTTGAAATTAGATATGCTGGTTGATGCTGTACTTATACATGATACTAGATGTGCGCGATTCCAAACAGTCCGCATTTTCCCATCTACTCACTAGCATCATTAATCTTCACCGAAGAACACCAACAACCACAAGACAAGGAGCAACACTACTGTCTGATTGGAGGTTACAAACAAGGAACCAGAGGGTGGGTAAAGCGTTTGAGAAACTGGAATCCATTGTCAAAATACGTCGCAATGCTTCACCTTTACCAACTCATAGAGCAAAAAAACGTGTAAGTGCCTTACATGTTTGAGAAGTTCAAACTGATTGACGAAGCTTTCGTAGGGGTGTTTACCAGTAGCCAGTTCAAGAAGCGTGAGTCCCAAACTCCAGACGTCCGCTTGAATACGGAAACCACCACCGGCGCTGCGACTGGGATCAATACGCTCGGGCGCCATATAGCGACAGGTGCCCGTGTTACTCTGGGCCATGGAGTTCTTCAACTCGCCCGACACGCCATAGTCGCAAACCTTCGCAGCGGAAAGAATTTGATAAACTAACACCAATACACACACAACCGTGATTAAAACACATCGGAAGAAGTTTGTTAACGCTTTGAATTCTACTACTCGTTCTCGGCTTCTTTAAATAGGATTTAGGAATCCATTGAAAATTCCTCCTCAAAACTGGTCATAAAATGGAAATTTTAGTCAAAGAAAGAAACAAAAAGTCAAGTGGTGGCATGTTAGAAGAAAGTAGAGGTAAAACAGTCTCCAGATTATAATACATGTAAAATGGATTAATTTAGGTGTGCGTGTGTGAAAGTAGACCTTCGTGAACAATGCGTATAGATAAGGCTGGGATTGATAAATCAGCTTTAGGAGCAAACTCCGTCCTCCCGCCATAATACCTGTCCGCTGAGACCTAGATACTTCAGAAGCTCTGTTTTGAAAATCACAGTGACTCCTCACTGGACCTACTAACCACAAACTTATAAAAAAACTGAAAATGCCAAAGAAGTGGATGGAAGCCACACTTTGGTATGCACAGAATAAAAACCGTGCCTTTGCATAGTATTTGGATGAAAAAAGTGAACTCGATTAAGCCTCAGTACAGCGACAGAAATGTGTAGGATGAGCATCGAGAAGATTTATGTCCACGCGCCGACATTTGTTTCGTTCCTTTAAGGGCAAATCCAGTCCTAACGCTGTAAAATCTCTCCGTAAGTATTCAACCTTAATTCTGCAGTTGTCCTTTATGAGCATTTTCATTAGGTTGGCTGAAGGAAACAAGGTGAAATTCTTTAACATCAACTATTTACTTCAAGCAGGGATCCAAAAGTGGGAATTTCAGCGAAGAAAAATGGGAACGATATTTAAAAATCCATATTTTAAGAAATCTAGACAATGACACGTAAATGCTACAAATGAATGGATTAGTGAGACAGACTTGTCACCATGACGGTAGAAGCAATGGAAAAGAGGTAAAACGACAAAATAGCAGCATTTTCTTATGGTTTTCGTTTAATTGGGCTCTTCCAACGAACCTTTACGTGCCCAGCGCGGTCAATGAGGATGTTGGAGGGCTTGACATCGCGGTGCATAGTCACAAGGTCCTTTCGCAGGTACTCCAGCGCAGTGACTACACAAAAAGCAATGTAGGCTAGGAGATTCTCCGGGATTATTTTTCCTTGTGCGTAAACCTGAAGAGAAAAGTGCCTGTTAGAATGGATAGACGGATTTTCAAACTGTTAGATTCCTATGAGGAGGAAAGCCATAACCCAGAGTGGGTGGAACTCACACTCTCCCTATTGTTTCGCAACTTTTATGCCGAATGTATCCGTTTTCTACCCTCTCTTTCCTCTTAATTATTCCACTCTGAAATGTGACAACCTCCATCGATACGTATGAGGTGTCGTGATGTATGAAATTGTTGATCATAGGAATCAAGATAGGGAAAATTCCCATTTACCTCAAATGAAAGTTATCAAGTTCCAGAGGTAGTTTTGCTATTAAATTGTAACTTCATTGCCTCCCTGTAAGTGGTAATTATCAAGTATTTCAATTCAAGTATAGTAGTCGAGTCTACACCAATGACTTGATAATTGATTACGTGAATATGTGAAGAAGAACGTGATATTTCCATAATTTTAAGGGACATTAAATTGGCTACAACAATGTCAGAGTTACTTGTATCCAATCAATTTCCTTTCAGCCAAGGATCGTCTTAGGAAAATTGGACCATTCCCGACTCAACGCGGATGCTCAAGCCTTTAAGGCTACTTCAATAATTTTGAATGCTCCTTTTGAAACATGAAGAACTGTGTAAGCGGTTCTACTATTTAAGCTCAAAAATGACAATGGGCAAAACTTCGTTAGTAAAAGACGGAAGAAATTATATAATTTCGTCAATTATTGCTACGGTTTCACCTCAAGAGGCATTTTTTTTTAAAGTTTCGACTACGTCTGTCCAGCATCCAGCTGTATCTGAGTCGTCTTTGATCAACAACTTGCGTGAGACACTAAGGGGGTTCTCAGATTTTCAAACGAATTTTCAAAGCTATCGCATACCGAGATCACTCACGAAAAATTTCACCTTAAAAAGCATGCAAGTCTATTTTTTTAAAAAAAGGGAACACGAAAGAAACAACCTCACAACCTAAAGGGCATTCTTATAACATTTATTTGAAGGAATTTCCAAGATATTTTGACATCTGGATATTTGTTATTCCTAGCAAAGTCACTTCTGTTTAATTAAGAATTATCATATTTAATTCAGTAAGAGAGTAGTACTTTTCATTTGTCACTTGAATCACTGCTAATGGAAAGGCAGCATAAATTTCGCGCCTAATCTTGGGTTTGCTAGAATTGTACACAAACATCTCATCCTGAAATGTAAAGGGTGTACTCAAGTGTCTGACAAAGATACAATCATCTAGCAAATCAAGAGCAAGAGAGAACTTGTCTTCTGGAAAACAAATGGCGCAGGAAAGGGACTGGTTTAGTAACCGAAGAAACGACAATATGCGTTGAAGAAGTGAACAAACGATAAAACCTAAAGATACCAATATGGTGATAGTGAGAAAATTATTTGACGAGTCAATGCTTTTCTACTCTGCTCCCGCAAATGTCATCGAACACGCCAGGTGTGTATCCGAGGTGGCTAACTTCATCTAGAGTTTATCATAGCATCCTCCAGCAAGAATAGAACCCCTACTTCAAGCGCTATTAATTGAAAGCAGCATAACTTCCTGGGCTGGTCTTTGATGATGCAGTATGCTGGGATCCATTTTAAAGAAAATAATTTAGCATCTAAGCAATTCAACATCTTTTAACTTGACAGGAGCAAGCTCATAATTTTGATCTCTTTCAGTAATCAAGGGCCTGTCTTAATATCCAGTGTCCCGTCAAATAGAAGGCAAAAGAGAAGCTTGTTCAAACTCATGCTAATAGTTGAAAAAGAGTGATATGAAGGGAATGATAAAAGAAATGCAAGACATTTTTATTCTAAAAAAGAGCATTTTTAACTTTGGGCAGGATAAGCTTTGATTGAACACACCTTTTATTAGGGTGTAGCAGTTAATTTTCCTCTAACACAGGCTCTGGTTGCAACCAAGATCTGGTTTCAGTGTCTCAAATTTCCATTGAATGTGGAGCAAGAACCAGAGCCTGTCCTCCAGAAGCGTCAATTAAGTAAAGGAGCTTAGTAGATCATAGGGACACCAAGCTACTGCATGAACACCTATTGCCTCTGCGATAAAGGAACAGGTCAAGGGAGGCGAATCCACTTCACAGAACTTTTCATAGGGGTATATCCATGAAAAAAAGAAACATTCGCGTCCAATTTAATCCTCTTTTTGGTAGAGAAACGAGAGCTTTCAAAATTAGAACCTTCTATAGATACCTTATATTAAAATACAAAAAACTTTTCTCCAATCAAGAGTGAGAGAGCTCACTTTCAAGAGGAAAACAATGTAGGGGGAAAGTAGGTCAAATAACGCAGAGAGGAGTGTGAGGCAAAGCCGAGAGTTTCTTAAAGTTTGGTAGTACCTTCATAAGGACAAGTGCCCTCCAACCGAATGCCATTTTTGAAAAACACAAAGGTGCATTAAGGGATTAAGAACTCCTCCTAATACCTCATATCCCATCAAACACAGAACAAGATAGCTTATTTGAAGAGAAAATAGTTTGGACATTAAAAGAATGTGCGAGCTATTACTCGGATGCATCATGTCACCACAAAAAAGTGAAAGCAGAGAGTGGGTACCTTTTGGAGAAATTTATCTAGGGAGTCATCCATCAGTTCCATGACCACCCAAAACTCGCAGCCGACGGAAAGGGCGCCGTAGGAGAGGACGGCGTAGGGGCAGGTGCTGGTGCGCATGCTCACATTCCAGTCGTTAAGAATGCGTGAGCGATCCGAGGTCTCTACTTCAAATGGCAGTCTCTTTACCGCAAATTCACACTTGCTCGGTGCGTGGTACATCCGATGGACCCGCGCATATTCTCCTCGACCTTCAACGAAAAAATATTTTGCTTAATAGAAGTATGATATGAAGTGTCAAGACCTGTCGGTCAGTTGACCAAGATAGCCAGAGCTATTGCGAATCAAGGGTTAGGTAGCTCTATCAGAGTTGCCGAAATTAAGTGAAACTACACACAGACCATGAGAATGAAGGCAGTTCCTTCGACTAAATATAACTATGAGGAACGCTAAGGAATCAAGGCTAGACAGCTTGTCAGAGACAGCAATCTAATTTAAACGGTTGCCAGAAATTAAATGTAATTGGAAACGTAAGCACCGACAATGCTTCGCCTAGTAAGATGGAATACAGATTCCTATAAGGCACTAGAAAAGTGGTATTTTCTCAGACAGCCAGCCCCATTGCAAATCTTTCGGTTATATCTTCTTAAATTATGGACGAAATGGAGCTAAAAATGCATCGAATACTAGAAACGGAAAATGAGTTATAAAAACGCGATAGCATCTCAATCATTCCAGCACGAATGTCGGAGCCACTAAAGATCAAAGATTAGGAAACCCTGTTATTGGGAGTGAAATCAAACAAAGTAAGATTCGATAGTCAACCACCTGAACACAAATAATACCTCATATACCACTGATAACATGAACTAAGGATTAGAAAGACCCAATGTGGATACCGGAGACATATTAGATGGAATCCCAACTGCGCTTGAATAATTGAACATAAAAATGCCACACTTAGAGAAAACACTAAACAAATTTCCACTAAGCTCCAATCGGTTAGTCAAAGGTAAAACTACTATATACCAGTTACCAAGGTTGTTAAGCGGAACTGCAGTCGAATCTTATTTGGATTTTCCAGTACCACGAAAACTTATATTGTTTAGGAGACTGCGTTCTTGGATGCTGCGAATCCGATTTAGGTGAATCTCTCCCTGTTAATGAAGTCGTCCGATAGAATGGTAATCAGAATACAGTAAGTGACATCAAAAGTGATCAGCTTAAGGAAAGTACAACCCAAATGTCCATGACTGATTCGAAATGTGACTTCATATGATGACTGGAGCGACTGCAAAGGAAGAGTAGGAGAATTCTGTCCCAGTTAATAAAGCCACAGCAAGCAAAGTTAGGGTGTAAATGGGTTAATTTGACACCAAAAATGACTGACAAAGTAGAGCGATAAAACGATTTTTACAGCACGATTCGAAAGCGGCAGAATCTCAATCAGTGGGTTATGGGTGACGGACGGAGCTAAGGCGAGTTCTAAAGAACTCTACCCCGGCTATTAAAGCCATAGCAACAGGATTTCCAGTTGGCATTGTGCTATGATAAGCAGTACCACATACAAGCATACAGGTTACGTAACACACCACTGCTTTTGAAAACTATATCTCACAAGCTAATATCAAACTTGAATAAATCTTAGCCAGATCTCTCGTGGCGAAACAAATCGCATATAGATATTCTACCTTCTGTTGCCAAATCTTTTATGAAAAAGCGCACCAAAACCTAAAAAAAAGATCAAAGGTTTAGCTTAAAGTACTCTATGCTACAGAGAATAGTATAGCCGAACTAAGTTAACGCTTAGGTGACAATATTCCAGTGATATCGAGTTAAATGATGTGAAAGTCAATATTTTCATTAAATGCCCAATAAGGTAGTTTAAGCAACTTTTGTACCACGGCAATACGATTCAATAAATCAAGAAAAACGAGCGGCTTGTAGGATAGAAAAAAGTGGATCAAATCAAATTTTAAGCTGCAAGGGCTGGATAAAATCTCCAGTTATCCCTGTAAACTCTTCCGCTAAAAGGTTGAACCAAGGAAAAATTCCCAACTCAGTAGTTAAATAGTGCTCTTGAGATAAAAAATTGGACAATCAACGATTCCAAGTGGATGCCACTACATAAAAACAGAAGACATTTTGCAATCCAAGTTGGATCAGGGAAAGAATGCATAAAAATAAATTTTGATGGAGGAAAGGTAGTATACTTATGAGATTTGTAGGATAAAATTAAAATTAGCTTTTATGCAAAGCAATCCCATTTCTCGAACTCCACTCACTATGACAAAGTAAGCCATACTATATGAAACAGCCCACAAAGATCATATTACAATACCTATTTAAGATAGGTAGGAATCGTGCTATGTCAAGAACACTAAATAATAGTTCGAGGACAATGGACACATGAACCGAAACCGGCAAAATCTCAAAACACCGCAAATCGACGTTAAAGGACCAATAAAGGATACTTTTGAAAATAATGCTTCCGTATAATTGTGCACAAAAACGTGGAGAGGATCATTAAAATGCTAATCAAAACAGCCTATAAAAAATCACTTACATTTACTTAAATCCAAATCGCATGTGATGCGGTCAAATAATTTCGCTTAAATATAACTGTTATCCAACAAAAAAATACTTTCAGAAAGATGGTAAAAAATTCCGATGAAACAGCGACCACAACTCCGCTGTCAACGATGAAAATGGAAAACTCTGAAAAGTAACTTGCCAAACCATCATATCTAAAAAACCAAAGTGACGAAATCCAAAGTAAGTCGCCAAAACTTACTGCAATGATGCAAATTTTGAGACGATTATCGAGCATTACGAAGAGACATACAGTCTAATAATTAATACCAGTAGGAGGCAACTAGGGATATAAGAAGCCCGACATGAAATGACGAAGAAAAAAACACGACAAAAAATTAAAAAAAAGGACAGAAATTCGGTTCCGCACCTAATTCTTCTTTCACCTCCAAATCTCTTGCATCTATTGTGACTTTCTGACCGTTAATAATGACATCAGTACGATTGCTGAGCTGAGTGCTAGGCCCAATTTCAACCGGCAATATAACACCAGGAATGCGACGAGTTTCGCCAAGATTCAGCGGCAATGGCCTACGAACGGCTGACATTCAGAGCGAGGAAAATAAATGCGGAGACACCCAGCCAGAACTCGATATTACAACACAACACAAACAGCCCGCCGTTAGATAAACTTTAGGAGAGGTTGTAAATGAATGTGTAAAACGCACTGCACTAAATTAGAACAGGCCAACAATGCCAAAAATGCAACTCTTTTAAAACTGTTTTGTCTAAAAAAGCTTTAAAATAATTTTTAATAATAAAATTTTGCACAATAATATATTTACCTGTCATAGTTTGACAAAGCATTTGTTTGAACATTTAAGATTACTGGGTATTAAGAAGAAAAATATAACGCGTAATATTTATATTTTTTTTTGCCGCCGGATCATTGAGACTTAAGTGTGATGGAGAGGCACCATTTGTCTTGCTCTAATCTGTAGTCGACTAATACCAGTTCAAAAAGGAGTTGTTCACTGCGTTTTTACAAAATTCTCTTTCGTTGACATCAACAGCAATTTAGGTTACATCGAATTAATTAATGTTTCCTTTTAGATAATTCGTTTTTCGATTTTAAAATGAGAGTAACAGAATGCCTCTAATTTTCCTCTGTAGCCCTTTCATTTCTGCTTAACTGTTGGTTTTATATTGTACTCATATAGACAACCTTTTCTACTTTTGGCCTTCTTTTGTAATTCGCGAACCAATCGTGCCATATTTAAACGGTTTATTTAACTTTTGCGGTGTATTTAAAGTTTGGTGATTGCGGTGCCTTAGAGTTGATTGGTCAAGTTATTGTGGTAGATGCTTTGTGGCAGTGGCCTTTTCACGTGATGGAGTCGATTGCTTGCGTTCAGCCAAGCGACGGTGCTGATTATGAATGTAACGGGAAGAACTCGGGTCTCAATGAGGTCGCATTCGACTCCCAAAAGTGTGATTACAGCATATACGGGATCCTCAACTTCCTTCAAAGCGAATGGACCAAAATGTCAATTGAACGTTCTCGTTGGGAATTTGAGCGAGCTGAGTTGCAGGTAAGTTGTAAATTATCAGTAGGAAATTTGTAGTCAAGGATAACCGTTTTACAAAACGAAAAAATTGGATGTGAAAACTTGAAGAGTGATCTTGTTCGTCGAATTAAAATGCTTGAATACGCACTGCAACAAGAAAGGTTTAAGAATTATTCCTTGAAGCATCCGAATGAACCCAACACTGACAACGGCTACAAGGATAGCCAAGAAGGTTCCGCCAAAAGAGATGGATTGAGTACACTTGAACGCGCTCGTTTGCGAGAGTACTTGACACGCATTGGAATGAAAAAGTTGTCGAATGAAATGAGAGCTGCTAAGGTGAAGGAATTGTTAGGCATTTCGCCAAACAGTGAAACGTTAGGTATGTTGTACAAAGTAAAATATGCAGGTCATGCATCTTAAAACAAGAGTTTTTACATTTTGTAGTGACCGAGTAGTAGTTTTTGTGTATTGCTATATCTGCCGCAATTTCAGCCTCAGAAATTGGTTATCTGGCTCCAAATTTATCATCCGACCCTCGAGAGGATGGTGCTTTAACTAAGTTCTGCCTGGTATGTTTTGCTTCCTTTAGCTTAAAGATGCAGGTTTTAAGTGTCCATTTAAGCTCTAATACTCCTTTCTTCATTACTTTTACGCATTTGATTATATACCTTCCTTGGACTGAGGACATGTTAATTTTCACTTGCATGTGACAAAGAACTCCGGTGATGACTCCACCGGTGCACACGAAGAGGCGGCCAGCGCTCTCGCAGAATTTGACAAACTCGTTGCACAGCAGGGTAAATTTGTTCGTTCTTAACCACTTTGGTCTTTCCTTTACTGGTTTTTGTTCTGCTAATTTTGTCTTAACACTTACGTCAGCAAGTAGTAAATTAACTTACTTCCCTATTTTCATTTATGCTGCTTTTACTCACGATTTAACCATACAACTTTGGACGTATATTGGCTTAATAGGCGCTAACCCTCTTAGAGCTTGTGTACACTTTATAATAACTTGTACCTGGTTTCACTTGGAAGCAGATCCTAATATTACACAATCCCATATTTGGCTTTCAGTCTTTGATGTTTTCAAAGCGATTTTGTTCCACACTTCTCGAAATTACTTTCATACTTGTTACTGAGACGCTAATGTGCTGTATCCTATTATGTTTATGGCTTTACAGGAGGGGTTTTTTTTCAGATCGACATACGCCTTTGTTGGTAATTTAATTGCGCGCTAAGTTGAATAAGTTATGGGACTTCATCCCTCTTCTTCTTCCCAGGTGGTGATGTGAATGCTTCAGTTGATATAGATATTCTCGCTGATTCCTTCACTGTCAACATCATGGAACCACCAAGAAGTTGGACGTCTGGCGACCAATCCGCTTTTGTCGATCGACTGAAGGAGCATTATCGGCTGGGTAAGTTGTGGTTGATTGCGTGTAAAATTTTTTTAGGTTTATGTACATAGCTAGGTTTTAAAACTGCTTAGGGTATGTTCTTTTGTCATAAATAGATTCACTCCTTTTGATGCTATTCTATATTTTCTGGAATCTCTTTTATTCCGAAGCTCGGTGATTTTCATCGTTAGGTAACATTGTATATTTATAATAATGGCATTTCACCCAGACAGTTACTTTTTGGGGTCTATCAGGGCTTTTTAAATAGCATTAAAATATACAGCCATCTGATATCACTTTCTATAAGGGGGATCCTTTGGGATTTGGTTGTATTGTTGAATAAACGTTGCCTTTGAAATCTTCCAATTTAGAGCTCCTTCCTTTCATTTTATCGTACACTTCTTGGAATCCTAAATTAGCTTTTGGGGTGCTTTAGTCTGCACGATATTTTCTAATATTGCGCCTTGTTAAAGGCTTTTCAAGGTTGTTTCATACCTCATTGATGCAGTGTAACTTTTTCGTGTAGTAGTTTATTTTTGAAATCTGTTACTCGGGGATTCGTATATATTCGTTGACGATACGTTCAATACACCACTAAGTTGGTGTCCTTCTTCAAATTCCTTAAGTCCTAATTAGCTCGAATTGCACCAGTTACTCTCAAATTTAAGTATTTTCGCTATTTGTTCAAAGGTTTGATTTGAATACTGGTTTTCAAACATTTGTGCTATTTGAATTAAGTATATGGGAGGTCCCAAAATGCATACCATGCTATCCTTTAATAAAATTATTCTTCAGAGTTTAATGACCTGATTGCTCCTACTAATTACTTTTGTTTGAGAAGTTGTTCTTAATCTGCCTCATAGATTCATCCTTTAGATGTATTTCCTTATCCTTTGAGCTTTGTGACTTTGTAAACTAAATTTCCGAGTTCAGTTGTGTGTCTCAGTAAATCGCCACGGTTTGGGCATTGTTGCGACCGTGGGATATCTATCTTCCCATCTTCATGCTCTCTTCTGTTATTTGATAAGTTTATCCAGTTAACTTCCAACTACATGGCCCCTTGTAAGCTATTTTCTTTTAAGGCCTACCGATCAACCGGGTCTCGCAGTCGCAGCAGTCTAAACCCTCATTCTCTGAGGATATCCCCATTCCACCACACGCCTACGACGAGATGGAGCTCTTTGTCAGTCAAGGCCGTCGATTTCAGTCCCACACTACCTCCAGCATCAGCAATACGCAGCAAGGCTTGTCGGGAGGCGTGCTCCTTGCAGCCGCCCGAGCTGCCGAAGACAACGATGGTAGCGGTAGCAGCAGTGGTGGTCTAGGCGATCTAGCTAGTCTTACTTCCGCCTCGGCACTGGACAATCTAGACGGAGTTGTCCAGACTGCCTCACAACATTTTCACCAACAGCAACTACTTCTCCTTCACGCTGTGGAGGGGGCCGGAGTAGGTGTCGGCGTTGGCGACTACGACGATGATGCGATTGCAGCAGCGGCCGCCAAGGCGTCACCTGCCTGGACAGCCAAGTACACATTGAGGGGCCATTTTGACGCCATTAGGGCGGTGACTTTCCACCATGCGGATCAGATCCTCCTCACGGGCAGTGAGGACTGCACTCTCAGGGTGTGGAGTCTTGCAAAGAGGGTGCAGGCTAAGAAATCCTCCTGTTTGGATGTTGAACCGGTGAGATTTGTTTCTTGCGCCGATATTGATTGTCCACTCGCTTCCCAAAGCGGTGAAGCATTACTTGGAGGCAGCAAAATTTGGTGGTGGTAGCGAACGTTTTCAAATTTTTGCTGCCCTTTTGAATTTGTTTGAAAATGCGCACTAAACAAACAGTAGTGTGGGTCTATATTAACTGTGAAAACTAGGTATGACTAGAGTTTGAGTTAAGGCATGTGCGGTCTACTTGGGCTCAATAAGAGAAACCCATTTGTAGACTATCATAATGAATGATATAACTCGTGCTTGGTGTTCGGCGTTCAATTTGTTCTTTTGTGTTCAATTCGATGTCAACTTACCTTTTCGGTTATCTTCGTCAAAGGCGTTCTTTTTCAATCGCCTCACCTGTCATGAAGTAATTGATTGAAGGTATTAAAAACCATACCAGATTAGGTTAATTCGGTAAACGACACCACTTTTGAGACCAGTATAGCATATCTGCCAGGCTACTTATTCCTCAGTTGCTTTTGAAGATGATCCTGAGATAAAGATATCAGTAACTATCGAAGTTTGAACTAAGCAAATGCGGTGGTGTAAAATGTTGTTCTGATGTAGAAGCGTCAAGGCAAAATTGATTGAAGTGGAAAAGCCTTAAATAACGGTGCCTCAGAATCAAATAGGAACCATTGGGAATTGTGGAGTGATCACTACTCACCCTCGGGTTTGACTTTCCCTCTGATGCAGGTGTACACCTGCCGGGGTCATACTGCCCCTCTTCTCTGCGTAGCGCTGCTCAGCATCTCGCCGGCAGGCAATGATAACATCGCTTCCGGCCGCAGTAGCCCCTTAGAGACCGCTCTGGAGCTAAACTTTGCCTTCTCCGGCTCGCTAGACGGCGAGATCCGCTCCTGGCGCCTCGGCGGTCTCCAACTCATGCTCTACGAGGCCTTTGATCCCAGCGTTGGTGGGCCCCTGTTGAAGGGTCATTCCAACGCTGTCTGGTCCATTGCTGCTCGCGTGAGTGCATCCTCTTAGTTTCGTCCTACGTTGTTATCACTGGCCATATAAGTATACATACTTGGGTTCCTAATCGTCTTGTGTTACTATTGCGTGATATTTTAAAGCAAAAACCGATAACTGTGACATGTCTAGTTTAATATCGAATGGTCGTGTTAAGTTTAATTATTCTAGTACTGGGCTTTGTAAGTCTACGTTAACTGTATGCAGTTACCATCGAAGAAGCCATTGGAGCTAGGAAAGTCAGGGAAATGATATCATCGCAGATTACACTTTAAAGCTTGTTTGGTATGGGATTTTGTAGATGAGTGGTCTGATGAATTAGTGATGGCGTTTCTGAATTTAATATTGACTAGCAGCCTGAGTCGGGAATAAATATTTGCCTCTAGTCTCAAATCTCTTAACTTCGTCGTCAAACCGGTTTTGCTGGAAAATCCATCTACTATCCGCTCTTACTTCAAGCTGTCACGGCCGCCGTCATTGGAGTTATTAATACACTCTTGATATAGTGAGGTTTGTTTCTTATTCTTCCTTACCTGCAGGCTGACGGCACAGTATTGTCTGCCTCAGCCGACGGAACCGTTCAATTGTGGAGCACATTTCCAGCCTTGCTGCAGCAACCGCAGCAGGCTTTCAAGCGCGATACGCGGGTGCTTTCCGCCGACCGGGTCTTTCGACCTCTCTCTGGCGCGCAAGCCACCACCACCTCTACTGTGCCCACCTCAGTTCTCTTCCTCCCCTCTGATGACTCCGCTTTTGCCGTTGGATTGACCAGCGGCGACGTCTGTGTCATCCATCTGGAAACCGGAAAGCAGATACACTTCTTCGAGTCGACACCATCCAACTCAGGTATCACATACAGATATCCCTGGTTTTAATTATGCTTCTGGCTTATCAATCGCAATATTTGACTGTCGGGTAGTAAAAAAAGATTTTGAGTAATAATTTATCAAACGCACCATTCACTCACATTGTATTCCCATTTCAATGGCTTTTTTAGCCCCACTATTTTATTGTTACGAATTTTGTTTGTGATATGTTGCTTCAATGTCTGCGACATTGTTCTTGAAACCTGGCGTCAAATCCACTTCTCCGAGTCAACGTCTTCCATCCACAGACATCCAGGGGTGCTATCTGTTTATATTCACACAAGAATTTGCTGTTGGACGCCGGTAATCCACTCGACTGAATACTAGGCTTTTGATGTGTGGTCAAAAAGTACCAAAAGTGGTCAGATTATGTCCATTGTGAATAGCCTTTTTGGAGCTATTTGAGAACTCAAATATCTGCATTGTAAAATGAAGGAAGTTCGAGTAAAGGCTGAATGTCGCTTGAAGCTAAACTGCATTTATTGAGACTTTCAGCGAGAAACCCCTGCCAAAATCAGAGTTGCAATGCGTGGTTCCCACGTCGCCGATTTTCTTTGTCGAACTAACTTGTGATGCTCGAAAACGGTTTATTCTGTTACGAAAGGCATATATGGTTAGTTATAAGCCGGCCTACAACCCCTCTAGTGTCTATCAGTTACATTGTAAGTTTACTGAATTTGACCCCCGCCTTCCTTCAGCCGATGTGGCAGAACCACCAGGCTCAGTGAACGCGCTGGCTGTACACCCCACCCTTCCACTGCTCTTCTCGGCCCACGAAAACCGCCAAATACGTTTCCTGGACACCGCGCAGGGCACCTGCCTACACAGTATGGTTGCGCATCTCGAGGGCGTTACCACCCTGGCCGTCGATCCACGGGGTCTTTTTCTCCTCTCTGCCAGTGAGTTATCCCCATCTCTCCTTCCCTACTCTGATGATGTTCTTGAAACTTTCATTGAAATTAGCATCTTCAGACTTGAGTTGATGGTGGGATTTCTTCCACCGAATTTCCACTCAGGATGACCTACATCGGCCTCAGTCACCATTACTGTTTGCGCATATGGAATTTGTAGAACATTCACATGGAAGCTCAAGAGTGGTACTGCCATCTACCTGAATTCTAAAATATAATACTTTGCGATTCCTTGCATCTGAACGGGCACTTTTCTGTTGATTAAGCCCTAAGTCCTTCAACCCATGAGGACGGACAGGGCATTCCGGTCTAAAAGCAGGCCGATGTGTCCTTTGACTGAGTACAAGGGAGCAGCGAGACCGGTAGCTTAGGTCATATTAACAAGACTCGTGAGAGGCTGAACATCTCCTGTAGTTATAACACACGACCAAAACGGATGTCGATATTGTTATGCTCAAACGTCACGGCTGGGGAGTTCAAGGGTTCACTTTTTCCCCACCTTCTCTCTGCACAGGTCATGACGCATCCATTCGTCTCTGGGACGTGGAGACACGAACCTGTGTGCAGGAGTTCACCAGCCACCGAAGAAAGCATGACGAATCGATCCACTCGGTGACCTTCCACCCTACACTGCCGCTAATTGCCAGTGCGGGCGCTGACGGGCTTGTGAAAGTCTACGTCTGATCCCTCTCTTCCCCTCTTTCTCATGTATATGACCCATGCGTCTGTCCGTTCCCTTACTCAATCCTTCACCTCTCCCTACTTACCATTGCCATCATTTACGTGCCTAATCAATCGTCTACAATCACGCCTATTTCTAACCACTTTAAACCGTAACTTCACGGCATTAAATTGAGGTATCATCTATCCTCTTCGACTTATCTTCTAATGTCTGCTTGTCCCCTTGCCTTATTGTCACATCTTCATGATGATCTGATGTCGAGGGCTGTATTTGGAGTTTGGTGTTGCTTGGATGCAGTCGTTGTATTTGTGTTTTGAATGGACTAGATCATCTCGAATCGCCGTGGTGGAATTTACTTTTGACAAGCCTAGCTTTGGCTAGGCTTCTCGATGCTGGGACATCCGGAGTCCACTTAAGCAGCTGGAATGCTTTCACTTTTGCAGAGTGAAAAGAGGGGGGATTCGCGAGGTCTGTTGATGGTTTGCTGCCTCGGTGGTGCCTCATTGTTCGCTGGAATCTTTTGGTCTATGCGATCGGCCAGGAAGCAGGCGGCGGAGTTTCTGGTTCCGGTGGTAATATTTAAAAGCACTTTTCTAACAAATTTGGGTGAATTAAAGTCCATACGTTCAGTAGTTGACAGCTGCTTCAATTTTAGCAGCTGCTGGTGCTGAATTCCTGGGATCTCCGATCCCTCCATTAAGGCATTTTGTTAAAATTAGTCGATGGTTGTACTTTTACTTGTATTTTGTGTTTTTTATACCTGGTACCACAGATTTTCATTACCTCAGCTCTGAGTTGTCAGCATGCGCATATTGCTTTCCTCTTGTTTTGATCCTAAATCTAACGCGCGGATGCAGTGTCAATAACTTTTAGGGCCAAATTGTTGTTAGTATGAAAGACTTAATTGATTGCTTACGTCTAAGATTGTTTACATTGTACGGAAACGCACCCTCTTTCGATAGGGAACAAAGTGGCTATGAAGAGCCATTGATACACAGGTTTCTCTGCACCTCTTTGGAACAAGCATTCACAAGAAATATCCTTCATGGTGGGGAGCCAAGGAATCTTTACGTAGAGGTTGTCATCGCCTGAGAGTAGAATTGGACCGGTCCTCGACTCATTCAGCAACTTGTCAATAAGTATTAGGTGACAAAAAATGCACTAATCGCTTATCAAGCTGAAATCAAAACCTCAGCTCGTAGGTTGATGGGGGGAGCGGCGACGCTCAATTCCCCTGGAATTGTCTTGAAAGGATTAGTTGGACACAGAAGCCAAGCATCTTCGCTTTTAGGTGCTCAAAGTTCCTGACCTCGAGCCCCATTTGAGGTTAGCCAAGATTTACGCCCTTTCCCTTCCCACCTTTTAATAAAATCACCTCCTCTACTTGCCTTCAGAAACAAGGCAGTGCACAATCGCTGATAAGCCCCTCTCGACTCGCTTTGAGGGCATTGCTAGCAGGCACGGTGTTGAGTTTCGCGATTACTGGCTCCTTGGTGGGTGGCGTGTGGTTGGTCCTCGGCAGACCCTCCCTCCAATCACTAAGCTCGGAGCTCAACTCCCGCATTCCCAAACTCAGACCAGCGTCGACGAATAAAAACTTACGCACCGAGTTTGCGTCCTTTAGAGAGCTCTTCACCTACCTTCAAGATGAGGAGAATGCTAATAAAGTCGAATAAACTGCGTCTGTTTATTTACTTAAAGTTTGTGCTTTGGAGGAAAATAGCATCACAAGCGTAAAAAGGAGGAGGAATAATTTAACGAGTGTTGCGAATAAAGAGAAGTATCAGATTGGTCTGCTGCACTAGCATGTTGGCGCTTGCGTACAGTTCGTTGGTTCTAAAATCATGAAAAAATGCAAGTAGTGATCGGTGTCTGCGTTTTGCTACAAATACTGACGTTCCAGTAAGGTTAAAATGACACAATTTCAAAGATAGCCAACGGGAGTGGGATGAAGGAGGTGCCCAAGTTTTGCATCTCAGCTGGGGGTTCGCCGCTCCTACTCAGCTGATACCTCAACTCGAGGAAGATTTGCATACAGAAGCAGCAGATGCCTTATTCTGTTATCCGAGGGGATGTGATATTCGGAGTACGCGACACCAAAAATCGGTGGCAAACATATGTTCTGGTATGGATAAAACTTGCTTAACCACATATGACGGGGAGATTTATATCACCTTTTAATTTACTAGCATCCGAATGATTGGTTAAGAGAATCAGCAAACAGGTGCACTACGACGATTTAATCATAGAAATAAGGTATATTTGACTCAGAAAAATTCACACATGATACAAAGCGTAATCGAGCAATAAACTGCAATCAGAACTCATTAGGCCCACGTGCTAAGCTAAATAAACAAGCATAAGAAGTTACCAGCACACTTGAGCAAAATAGGGGACTCCCATGGATGAGTTCACATCACACCCATCATGATTAGTCATGGGGCTTCGAAAATAATATCACAACGTACGACAGGTATCCGAAGTGCCTGCGATGATGTTCGAGAAACAAGTCGTTTTAGGGGAAAGTGGGTGGTCCATAGTGCCGTATTCGTCACCACAAATAATAGAGTGGAAGATATTTAGGCGGAAACAGCGTAATTAAGTCAATTTACAAAAGTGGTTCATTGAGAAGTTAGGGCAAACCCGCCGATGTACAAACAGGATGCATCTGTTTACGATACTTCCCGAAAGAGACAACAGTTGAGCATCAACAAGTAAAAATAAATAGTTTACCGAAATAGGCACATCAATAGTGCTACAAAAACGTACTTGTGGTCGCGGAAAAAGCCCTTGAGAGCACTACTAAATCTCTTTGAATAATCCACAAAGTTAACTGTGTGCCCATCCAAGTCCTGAGATATGACTCCCTGCGACATAGCACTGATAACCGAGCGGATGCAGTCGAGGAAGTTTTTAATGGCACCGGCGATTTGTCTTAGAGGAATCATGTAAATTATTGCGCTTACTTAATCAAATCGATAAATTCATTCCGACTAGAGATTTCTGAAGGGATGCGACTCAGTACCAGCTTTAGTTCGGCAGCATACTTTTCGAGATCATATGTGTGTGGAACAATCGATGTATACATAGGAACTAGAACATTATCTACAAAACCACAAACTACTTTCATTATCCAGAGCTGAAAGGCGCAAAGACATTTCTTCAATATCAACGCAGTCTTTCAGACCAAACCTTTCCATAAAGCCCCGAAGAAAAATCCACGTAAAGCCGGGTAAGGTCCTCTCAACCTTAAATATAGATATGGCACATATCAGCTACATACGGAATCAAAAGATCTTCGTACATTGGCTACATCTGCTTGCATCTTTTCGAATCCAACGGCATCATTAGGGTGCTGGAGAAGCATTCTTAGGTTCTGGAAAGTTGCTTACAGGAGACTTTACTTGAGCTAAAGTGAGTTTAATGGGATCCGGGATCGGAGACGACGAGCCACCGGCGGGAACCATTTCAGCCAATTGAACACAAAGCGACGCTCCTGTTTCTTGCTTATTCAAACAATGACTGATCGAATTTCTTGAGTAACAACCAGCAATATTTGTTACTTTTGTTGCAAAAATGTGAATTTTGCATCAAGTTTGACCTAATTTATCAAACCATTGTGAGCGCATGGATTTCATTCGTAATTCTCAAAGCAGCATTTATTAAAACTGTATATAACAAAGTACTAAAAATAACAAGTATATAGTAAGTTGGTTGCCTACCTCTGGTTTTGGTCAAGGGTTCCTTTGTTTTGGCTATTTTACGTGGCCTAAAGGGCTGGCCTTCGGGCCATGCCAGCAGCCCCAATACCTTCTGTAGTTGGGACATACATGTATTCTGTCCGAGTATTGTGTCTTCTTTCGTCTTCAGGGAAATCCCTGAGGGCTTCACTAATGGCAGTGAAAAGCAAACCAGATCCTAGTAGACATTTGTCCTAATTCCCACTATTGGGTGATAAAACTTAGTGGGGAGAAAGAAGTGCATATGCTTAAGATAGGCGAATTGTTGGTGACGCCAAACAGAAGGAGTGAAATTGACGTTTACCTTCAGTGGCTATTTCAGTCCCACGTTCTACAGGAAAGCTATAACAGCTGAAGTGACACTAGTCGTGAACCATCCAGTAAAACTTCGTTACGTAGTTTCCATACCGCACCTACATAAAGCTGACGATAAAGTGAGCACTCAATACCCCTTTAACTTTTCTACTAGCTGGATAGAACCCATATAGATATGACTGGGCCGTTCTGAAGTGAGAACAGCTTGACAAGGAGGAACAGATGCGAAAACTTTTTTCCCACGGACCTGTGTTAATCCTCTTCCTTCCTTACACGAATTTGCTTTTAGGTCAGTATTCCTTCGTCCATATAGTGATACGCATGATGGTCAGCACTTTTTCCTATTCCTGAATTCAAGTTTTCAAGCTGGACGAAACTCCAGATGCTGTTAAATTGCCTGGAGGGATTAGCGATGTTATGGTCAAGTATCGCCTCGGAGACATGGCAATTTGATGACTAGTGCGGCCGAGTCGCAGAGGTTTCCCTATAGTACCGACAACACTGTGATGGCTGAAGCGGGAGCTTGACTATGGAGGGCTCCGGGAACGACGCGTAAAAGAGGAGAGGGGCTATGTAATACGTCGGTTGGTTAACTCTCGGTTTTAGTGAAGGGTCTCTTTGTCTTGACCATTGTACCTCGCTAGGTGGGCTTGCCTCTAGACCATGGCAGTAGCCCCGACATCTTGGGCATGTCAATTATATATGCTCTGCCCGAGTGTTATGCCTTCTTTTGTCTACGGGGAAGTCTCGGGGCGGTACAAGCAGTTCTTTTAATAAACTAACTCGAAAAATTTGGTGGAAGTTCAACCACACATTCCACAAATAGTAACGGCCTAAGTGTGTACATTCGAGTTTGCCAGAACAGGTTAGGAAACGTCTCAGCTCATTCTACGCCTGATCTTTTTTCAGTCCCCATTCTGTAGAATTCAGGGTGGTCTACCCTGACTGATATGTCCACGTAGCCTAATATGCATTTAAACAAGGTATGTTGTAATACGATAGTGGTTTATCCCTCGGTTCTGGTGAGGCGCCACTTTTGTGCTTTGAATTAGCCCCCTCGTACCTCGCTGGGTGGGCTGGCCTTTTGGGCCATGCCAATAGCCCAGACACCTTCTCCGTGCTAAATATGTGTATTCTGCAGGAGTATTGTGTCTTCTTTCGTCTTCAGGGGGTCTCGGGACGCTACAATATAGTTATGATAATTGTGGTTAAGAATTTTACTAAGTATAATTCTCTACAAATGTTATTTTGTCTTTGATGTGGGTGCTGGCCAAGTTTATCCAATTGTAATTTCTTTAGTTTATGTCAGTCCCTAATCCCCTTCAACATAGTTCAAATAGTACCCTAAATATTCAGCGTACCGAGTCATCTCTGAGGTCGTAAAAAGTCATAGTGTTATGGCAGAAGTCATATAACTGATGTGATGAAGAGCTGAGGCTATTATCATGGCCGAAGGTCCATGCAGCCAAGCCGACTTACATGCTGTGGAGACTTAAGTGGCCCCGCAATCAAATCCAGAGTTTAACTACCAATCAAAACACACCGCAAGTAGCATTTTTGAAAGATTATTTTGTCTAGCAATTGATGAACTTGTCTACTTTATTCCTGAATGAAGTTTAATTTGCTTCAATTTGAGGGGTCATTTTAATTTATCATCCTTACAGACTAAAAAAAGTGTATATTTTTAATATTACGGAGTGAAGCAGAGTTTGGCTTAATAGCGGCGAATCGTCGCCTCAAACATGCAACGGCGAAGCTTAAGAGTTGGCAACCACGCGCACTCCACACCTCGCTTGCTAGCTGAAGTGCGCACGTGTGCCTCGATCGATAGGCCCTCGTCCACTTGCTCCACACCTGGAGCGGTGTGAGTGCCTGAAGGTGCGGTCGCCGCGACGCCTTTAAGCGCTGCTCTCTGGCACGTGGCCTCAGACCATTTAACACAGTCTCCTTCCTAACGGAGAGGACACCTCGCTCCAGCTCAGGTCATGGGTAAATTACTTCCAGTCAAAGACGATAACTTTTAGAAGCGATTTTCTACATTGCAGAACAGAGGCCTTTTGATACTTGCTTATTCAATGAGTCATTTGAAAACTATGATCTGTTCAGAATCGTGATTTGTCCCAGAGGCGACCAAGCACTGTGAACTTCCTTGTACATGACAGATGTGAATGAAATGTTAACCAGAGGGCGAGAAAAAATAGCACTTTACTCTGCGTGTACTATTTGGGGTTATATTGAATGGCAGGTAAGGTATGAGATGACATCTGATAGATCCATGATAGAGAGAGAGGCTGCAGGATTTGCAGAGAGCTCGAATCGCTGCAGGCAGGCAAGGTCAGTCTTCGTGCTGGCTGAATCGATCGCCAAGGACGGAGACGACTGCTTCCAGCGACGGGTACGCAAGTCATAGTGGGTTGAGTAACTGAAAAATTAATAGCACAAGGCGCATCAATTCGCGCTTCTTCCACACCCAACTCTTGTAAGCCACGACGATTATGCATGCCGCCTGGAGGTGGGAATAACCAATTGACAGCTGAGGCGGTGTGACGGTGTAGGGCATAGCTAACGCGAGATCTCGCAATTTAAACGTCTCTTTTATAATCAAGTGGAATAATATTGCCAACGCCAAATCAGTAAAGTCTATTAAGGCAAGTTTTTTCTACTTTTGCAAGTTATCTTATATTACGTCAACCCAACCGCGTATATTCGCCGCATTAAATGATTTTGGTAAGTGCGTGAGCTTACACCAAGGGCAGCAATCAAGGCTTACCTGGGTAATTTATACCTGTGAACCTGATTACTTAAGCCACAATTAGATTTATTATGGTCCATCTTTATTTTCAGGCTAAACCAGGCATTGTGATGGATGTATTTGTGAGGGTGAAGTGTCACCTTTGCATCCGATATGCACGCACACCAACGAGCCTGTTTAGACAAAGGTACCATTTTTCGCCTAGCCATATAGTGGCTAAAAGACCATCAAAATGGGGAATTTCGTACACCAGAGTAGGTAATTGCCAAGTATAGTGCGCGAGAGGAGAAGCTTTTGACCAGAGCCTGAAGAAAGGGCAGTTATTGTCAGGACTCGATCAAGTCGATTGACAGGAGCCGTAGAAACACCAAAGACAATTTCCGATCACAACGGGACAAATACAGCCATAGATTTCATTCCTTTGTAATTAACGATAGTAAAGTACACACAACCCTTCGGCGGTATACCCTGAGGAGGTCTCGTTCCATTTCCTTGCCAAGAGTCCCCACCTCGAATTCGGAGAAAACCCAGCAGCGGCTGAAGGTAAACACCCTTTCCGCGACTCGCTTAATAGGCTGTACACCTAAGGCAGTTTATTTTAAGCGTCGATTTTGTAATCTCCTAAAAAGGCCTTGGATTTGTGTCGGAGTTAAGTGCTGAAACGATCCCACGCACAAACGGTGAACATTATTTCCTGCCTCTTATCCAACTGTCATTCATGCAAGCCTCGTCACATGTTTCAACATAATATCAGAGCCTAAAGCAGCACTTTTTTTGTCCTTTTGCTTACAGATTAAGTAATTGCGTTTTGCAGTTGACTTTATAAACTTAGAAGTACAAATCTCATGGTATCGTGACGGTATTGTACGCGGTGTTAGCAAGTGCGACCTATTCCAGGCAAAGATATAGTGAGAGCCCGGAACCCTACCCCAACCGTAATAGCGTGTGCATGCAAGTGTGGTGAAGAAGTGTTTTGTGGAAAAAAGGGTACAAATCAGACCTTTCGATATCTGCTTGCATAGAAGACCTCAGGTACAGTACAATACATTGGCAGGATTTCCTGACATTCAAGAATAGGATAACGTGGGCTCAGCCTCACACCTGTACGCCAGTGAAGGTTCCAACTGTGATGGCTCTCAGTTCACAAACACAGTGTAGTAGTCATTCAGGTGTGCATTCGGCGCGCAAATTAGGATTAGCGGGTGCTAGAAACCGAGATAACTTTCACATTTCCACGAGCACAGAAAATAATGTTGCACTGGAGTGAAGAAGCTTTTTGACAAGAGGAGCCAGCAACACATGTGACAACACCTGAGTTCATCATTCCACGACTACCAAAGCAGGAGAGGCGTGTGGAATCAGGACTGATGTCAAGGAGAGGCAAGCTGTCCCAAGATGGTTCAATCGTGCTGACAAATCATTTTTTGTCGAGGTTGCCCAGACATTGATCAAACGCTAATCAAGTGTGGCGAAAAGAAATACGGTTTCCACTTTATTCTTTTATAATCGAAAAGATCCCAGTGATGAAGATTTTAATCCATCCCACCAGTGATGTCGCGTGTCACTGCAAAGGAATGCTCAGGAAAGTAAAAACCGAGGTTCCAAAAGGCGCTGAAACAGTTCACTGAACAAATGGTTGCATCCATAAAAAATTTTCCGATCCTCATTTGCGGTTGACTTTCCGTAGATTACCGCAGGCATATTTGAACAGGAAGATATTTACTGATTTGACGATTGATGCCGAGTAAAATCGTTGTGTCATGAATTAGGGAGTAATACGGAGACGATTATTTCCTCACTAAATATACGCTGGTAGTCTTGAGAATACATAAAATCGAAAATTCTGTTTGAAGAGGGAATCTGATATTACAATCCCAAAATTTTGAAGCTCGTAGGTAAAGATTTCCTCGCCTGTCTGGTACATCCAGCCATATGTGCTTCACGCGTCTGGACTTAAAAATGCTTTACAAAGTCAATGTCGAAAACGGAGTAGAGGCTGGGACAACAGAAGAATTAACTCACTGCAGTGTCAAGACTACTGAGCAACAATTTTGACACAAATGTCCGTCACTAGGAGAGATTTCATGGATGGCCTCGCGAGGAGCAGCGCCAGAGGCAGACCAATGGATTGAGACATCGAAAGGAACAGTCCCCACTTGGATGCCTTGTCCATACTAGGGGATCACTCAATGTCACAAAACTCAACGCTGTGTTGCCCTTTGATGATCTTCAAAAACTGTGGCTCATTTTGCCAACTCAAAAATCAATCCAAACAAGAACTAACGCATTAGGTACCATATATGCGAATGGCACCTGAACCCCGCCATGAATAAAACCGTCAATCTTTCGATGAAAAGTGGGACAGTGAATGACAGCCTCCATACGAAGAGTACAATTGGCGAAATAAGTATGATGGTAGAACTGCATCAGTGGATTATCTAACTCAAGTCCCAACCCAGTTGCAGCACCACCTGGATGTTTCACAATCACAGAACTGAAAAAACGCCAGACCCGAAACATATGAAGTCTTCTCCCTACATCCACATCCAGATCGAAGTTTGTGGTGTGAAAAATCGCTGACGCAAGCCACGCAAAGACCAGATGCTTCACAGAGAAAGCCAGTTATACGACTCCCATGGCTATTGCAAGAATTGAAGCATATCGCTTGAATTTAACGTAATGTACACATGCACACGGGCAACATCTTTTACAAAAACAGAGGGAATAGTGATATGACGAGTCCAAAGTCAACCAAAGGAGAAGTAAAAGCAGTTAAGACAAAATTATTCGATTGAAGAAACAAAGCGGGAGGGACGAAGAAATGGTTAGAGGGGACTGGAGGAGGGGGCATTGGTTTTAAGGAAAGTCTGAAGGGAGGTCTGTAACTCCTCCACCAAGGGTTCTATGAACTTGACATAACCCGCCTCCGTGGGGTGGAGGTAGTCGAGCATGTCGCGGTGCGCGATGGAACCGTCGGGTTGGAGGAGGGCGTCCCACTCCGGACAGAGGAAGACCACACGGCCCCCGGGATGACTGAGATTGGCCGCTAACAGTCGGTTCACCTCTAGATGCTTAGCCCGACGTGGATTGGGCTTCTTGCCGCAGGGTAGCAGACCCTTTCCAATTCAGGGGAAAAAAGGTAAAGAACACATCACCACCGTATCATTACGGGTTCAAAAACTGCTTATTTATCCACTCATTTACATTTAAACATTAAATTCCTTGAAGAGAAATCAAGTATACGCCGAAACACAGAGGAAACAACAAGCAGCAACAAAAGCGGAACTATCACCATCCACTTCGCAAGGAAAATAAGTGGGAAGTTGATTTTCAAATTGACAGAATGAGCGCTCGATGTTTGTTGGCTAAAGAGCACGAGTAAGGGATGTTCAAGGACTTGGCAAAGAACAGTAGATTCCTTAGGCAGCAATTATGACTGAGAAGGCGTCATTAAATCGCCACGAATTTAAACCATGGTGGTGTGGGATCGGAACGGAGACGCATTAGGTCGATTTTAGGGTGATATAGCAATAGCCTAATGTGCACTAAGGTCCATTTTCCTTGGCCTATCTAAGAGGAAGAGCAGAAAATAGGTGGACGCATGGCATACGGCAGCGGATCCCTGAAACAACAACCATTACCAATAAAGCAAATATTGTTACCCCCTTTAATCCACTTATGGTAATGCTTTATTAGGAGGTAGGAGGGTCAAAAGAGAGATTAAAATGACGAGAGACGGAAATAGAATCTAACATGCGTCGGGAAACACGAAAACTTCCTGTCCAAAATGCTACTAATGTTCTGGGGCAAAAAGTACACCACAATGATATAATTAAGTTTAAAACGGCCCTAGGAATGAGAAATATAAGAGAAGTCGATTTAAAAATGGGTAAAAAGGGAGTCTGATATCAAGATTAAACATATTGCCAAAACAACCGTCCGACCAACTAGACAAATGCAGTTTTTTTCCACCTACCTACTCATCTTGCTAACCGAGAAACAGTTTCAAAAATGAGTGCAATAGCCATCAAATATGCATCAGAATGTATCCAACATGGTCTTGTAACTAGGATGAATGAGGAAACAGGTCTACCGACAAATATGTCTGACAGGAAGTGATCAAATAACCCAGAAGCAAATGGGGGAAGAAGACACCACTGCATCATCATTGTCAATTTCAAAACTACTCATTTACCCACTCTTTACGTATGCTTTCTTTAAAGTGAAATCTGCTTCCGACGGAGAACTCTAACCTCAGAGTGAACGAACCACATTTTTTAGCGGAACTATGCAGTTAGAAGACGAAGTTGTATAATAACGAGTAATAAATAGAATAAAAAGGATATTTACAAATGGGGTGGTTACTTCCAAATAACAACAGTAGGCAGGAGAAAATGAGAAGAAAGATTATCTCACTCGATAAAGCTCATTTAAATGCATCACTTACTCCTTGACGTTAAAATACAGGTACTGTCTCCTCAGGCAGGAGACACCATCAAAATTCACCCCTACGGCCAAAATTTATCCGACTATCCCTATGTATATTTACTACAAGGCGAGATCAGCTTGCGATACCGATGTGCTAAAGTGCATCTTACTTTGGTTAAAAAATCCGAAGGTTCTCCACCAAAAAGGTGGCAGTATCAATTCAGCAAGACGAGGAGTAATAGAGGAACTAGAATAGACGACATATCGACACAAAAATGAACTAAATGATAATCCACTGTTTGCCAAAACCTATCCTAGCAAAGTCTGATAAGGAAATGGGAAACGTGTGAGCAAGTAGCTGATTTTTGAAGCAGCAGTGAAAATAAAGGCGATGTAACTGTCTTGATGATTCATAACCCTCCTAACATCCTCTTCCACCACAAGGTGTCTGTTTTTGATGATACGGAATCAGATTATTCCTTGCAGATACATTAAATATAGCCATACTATCAAGAGTTATACTGCACTGGCACCAGCCTCGAACCATCCACCCTATTCAACTGACCTTTGATGAAAAGGCGAAGGCTGCTAGTGAGATTGTGATAAGAAAATGCATAGATTGAAGTAAAAAGTGAACTGCAGATGGCGACGGGTGGCATTCGAATAGAATAATTATTCACCAAAGTGTGGACAACAACATGGTCAACCTAAACTCTTGAAATCCACAAAAATAAAAGACATAAAAAAAAATTTTGAGGTTATCGAAAAGTCACAGGATAGCGTTGAAGCGGGGATTCAGCAAAAGTGGGGGAATGCTTTGTAAAGCTAAAACTTCTAGATTGGGTAATGGAACGGCAGTCAAGTACAGAGCTTCCCGTCAATAAAATATAAAACAAGCTACAGATAGCCACAAAGTGTGGGAGAAATAAGGCGATCTCCGGCGATTAGAGCAAATACAAGAAAACCGAAATTTCAATGCACAACGGTAGTAAAAACGGACTCCAAGACTAGTCTCAAAAGGGTTGCAAGTAAGAAACATTGATATGAAAAAACGGCAGACACAAACCTACGACGAATAGCATAATTAGTTTAGAAGCCACTGAAAAGTACCAATAAAACTTTGGAGAATGTGGAAAGTGGCGAGAATTCCATACATAAAACAGAACAAATATAGCAAATAACAGGGCAGAGGAATACCGAAAAAGAAGCGAATAATTCAAGCACTAAAAAAGCCCAGACATGAAATGTGAACTTACCAGGACCACAATACGAGCTTCCGGTTGCTTTTCCTTGACAACCTTTAAGATCGAAAGAACTCCGTTTACGATTTCAGCCGCAGAACACTTATTATGAGTTCCGACAGCCATGACGACAACCTAGAAACCGATGATAGTTGGAACCCCGCGAATACCTTCACTTTAACTTCATCCAGCTCGCCGTTGAGCACTCGCCAAAGAACGTTTTGAGTCTCATCATTTGGAATTGAAAAATTTAGACAGTGAAGAGGTTCAATATATGTTTTGTAAGTCTAGGAACGTAAGAAGGGATCTGATTTACTTGTGTAGCCTCAAAATTAAATAAAATGGAGTCGCCAATGAATAAGATTTCTGGCTCCTTGTCGCGCCCCTGAGATAGAAAGCGAGCATGCTGATGAATATGCCAATAAAGAATGGAACCTTTACCATGCTTAGCCAACAACCATCTCCCTCTTTATCCTCAGGTTTTGCCGGAATATCCGCAGCCATTAGCACAAGGACGAAATCAACCTATGACTGAAGAACACTCATGCTCAATAGAGACGCCTGTATAAAAGAGTATTTATAAGAAAGCCGTTCACCCTCCGGCAAAAAATTTGCCTAAAACAGTAAGCGTGAAGGTAACAAATTTCTCACTTAAGAAGAGACACTAAATATACGTTACGTCTTCATGATTTAGAGTCACGAGATGGTTTGAATTATAATGTATCGCCAAACAGTAAGAAGTGGAACCATTCGAATGATTTTGGTTGACACCTGATAAAGGCTCACAACGCTACAATTGCTCAGTTGCTTTAAAATCTATTCTATACACAGAAACATATCCGCTGAAAAACCGATTTTGGGTGCAGGAGAAACGAGGTATTACAAAAGTATATTCATTTTGCAACGATATGCAACAAAAATAGATCTTTAAGGAGTCGAATCTGCTGTCTTAGCAATTATTTATAACTCCTGGTTTTTGATGATGTGAATATAACTCGTTGCCCATTTGACTCACAACTTTGGTTAATATCCAACTTTGCCTTAGCGATTGTGCTTTCTTCTTTCTTTATCCTTCCAGTATCTCTAAACTCCACTACTTTCCCAAAATACATATTCTGCTCTAGCATGATGTCTCCCTTCGTCCCTAGAAAAGACTTGAGAAGCTACAATAAAATAGCCCTAAATAGCTGAAGTCGACAAGTTTTGTTAGCAAAGCTACATGCAAACGACGAGTAAACACATGTTGTGAATTACCGTTTACGTATTTGGTTATGCGCAAAGCGTCCAAACATAAAAGTCTTTGATATGATTCCTGCATGCATTTTTACTTCTAGTGTGGGACAATGCTTGGGTAGTGCGATACACCTCTTGGCAGAGTCGCCGCCTTGTTTTTAAATTAAGTCATTTACATATTCCATTTTAATAATTTTATGCACAACACGGTTAAAATTCACTTTGTTTTTACATAAACTTGCTATTACGAACAGGTATTTTTAATTAGCTTACTTGACACTGTTACTGATTTGAGGTTTTTACTTGTTTTTTTGTCTTAAAAGAGACGTTAAGATTTCATTGTTGATTACGCGTCTGATTCGTTCCTCCCCATTTCGGTGTGTATGCTAAGTGTTTTTGATTCAGTTATGTCATTCAGCTCAGCTTCTTAAATTTTTGGGAGTTTTCTGCTTGTTTAGTTCTCACTTCTACTATAACTGCATTACGGAGTAAATGTACTGTATGATTCTTGGTCTTATTACAACTCGCACTGATACCCCTCGTTCATATTTTTAGTACATTTTAAGCGCCAAAACTAGCTAATACTTCTTGTTATTTTTGAAGAGTGATCTGTTTAGAAATAAGAATCTGTACATGACTTATACTTAGGTGTGTCTGCGCTCCTACAATTTTGATCTCTTTGTATAGAGTCCATGTCCTCTGAAAGTGTTCAGTACACAAACGATGAAGCTACTGCTACAAAGGCCTACGCTGTTCGACTTGGCTACTGGAGTGACCCCTATATAAAGCTTTTCTGTCCGATTCCATCTTCATCGACACCAGAAATCAGTCGTGGATATTATGTTCGTGTTCAGACCTTTGAAGCAGTAGTAATTCGCTTTATTCAGGTATGTATACTAAAATTGCATCTGCAGCAATATTAGGAATGTAACAAAGTGTGTCAAGTCGTGAATCTCGGTGCTGGTTCAGACACCCTCTTTTTTCGACTAAAAGATAAAGACCTTCTTCCCAAAGCCTACATTGAGTTGGACCTTCCCGGAAACGTGAGAAAGAAGATTTTCACGCTACAACGAAATAAAGCCCTACAAGCAGCTCTACCCACTGGTAATGTATGCTCGATTTTGCTGAAAAACCCACTTTTTTAACAGGCGATTCAGGGTTCCTACCGTCTACTGCACCAAAGGATAGGATCTCTTTTGGATGTTATCATCTGCTCAGCTTTGATCTTAAAGCACCCTCTGCCTCGTTGATCAGTTTGTTATGCGATTCTCCCGATGGGCCTTCTCTTTCACCCGGCCTTCCTACCCTTTTTCTCGCTGAATGTGTCCTCGTCTATATTCCCACGGAATTCTCGAGTTCCCTCCTCTCTACTCTCTCCAATAAGTTCACGCAGGCTGCCTTTTTAAATTATGAGCAAGTAAGTGGTCCCGAGAGAAATGGTTAGCTCCCCATTCCTTCGTATAATTAGAAACTCACTTTTAATTGTAATTTTGATCACTGAACATGCCGATGTCTATCCAGCTCATGCTCCTTTTCATCAGGTAAATATGCAGGATAAGTTTGGTGAAATTATGCAAAGTCACTTCCGCGACAGATCTTGTGAATTACCTGGTCTCGCAGCTTGTGGCTCACTGGAGGAGCAAAAATCCCGGTACGCTAGCTTTCTAGGAGTTTAGTCTGTTTCGAAAATTTACAAATAATCCATCAACTACGTTTATGGCTACCATATTTCAGTAATTGTTGTATTATTGAGTCGTGTTTGCCCTCTGATTTGGTTTCGCATAGCCTTGTGTCCCATGACTTCTATTTTAATTTATTTAAATGCCGACAAACACTGGAAAGACATCACCATTAAAATTTTGCATTACCTTCTGTGTCAAGACTTTGTTGGGCTGATCAAGTAATAGCCTTCTCTGTCTTTGTCAAGTTAATTGAACCAATGCCTTAATTAGCGATTCACTCCATGGAGGTACATGAATTTCAATGCTTCAATCTTTTTTCGGTGCGTAGTTAGTTAAAAAGTGGCTGAGTGCTGTAGTGATTTATTTATCACCTTTCAGAGTCGTTCTGTTTAGGTAATAGATTTCTACATCACCTGCTTGATAAATTGATTCCACACAGTCTTACACCTTTTATCTCTACAATTTCACTCAGTTCAATGATTGATATACCTATAAAAGCTTTAACCAGGTGATTTGATAGTTTCACTACTTCTATAAATAACTTAATTCACATGATTCTGAACAGGACACCAACGTCGTTTGCGCAGGTTCAAAAATACTGGTTGAATATTGGGTAATCGCAGTTTTTGTACTGCCTTAATAAAGGTTTTAGATTTAAACCGTGGAATCCTACAAGGCTTGCATGACAAATAGACTCCACCTGGAACATTGATAAACATCAGAGGTTGTAATAATTATCCTGTTTTGTAAAACATGTAAAATCCTCTAATTTGATCATTGCATAATGAACTACTAGTCAAAGTTTTGCTTAATTTGGTAATTAACATTTCTTACAATCTGTGTTGGATCGCTAGCCCCATCTCGGGCAATCGTTTCCTCGAAAGTGTTTTTCTTATCAATTACCGGTTCCCATCCATAGTGCTATTTTAAAATATAGAAACGCGCAAATTAGGAGGTCCCAGGATACATTGAGCTCCTCGTAGTTACCGAATCACTTGAACCGGGTCCGAGTCCGTTAAATTTGTGCAAAACATTACGCAATGCATATTCGGGAGTACAATTTGGATGCTAGATGTCCAACCACATTTTCACATTTTCACTCGCGAATCTTTAGCACATAGGATGTAACTCCACCTCAAATGCTGGTACGCATAGATAGGGTGTTGCTTTGAGGATTGTGAAATGTGTGTTGAGTCCCTCAACTTAGTTAACGCGAACTAATATTACGATTCATGCATGTTGCAGATTTATAAATAACGGTTGGACGGAAGTGCATGCGTGGACCATCAACGAAGTGTTCAGTTCCTTTCCTCAGGGTGCCATATCAAGGTACTCATTTCTCGCCTTTACTTCAATACCTATACACAATTTCAATACATTTCGTCATGCTTTTGAACCCTCTAGAATCAGTCAACTGGAGATGCTGGATGATACGGAAATAACACAGCAGTTATATGATCACTATTGTATCGTGCTGGCCACCAACACTGGAGCGATTTGTCACTGGGATTCGCTGAAAATGGCTCTCTCGGATTTGAAATAGGCGACTTGTCATTGCACCTTTCTTTCTCGCATGGGGATTTTACTCTGTACATTTGCCGTATTGGAGCAGCGCAATGAGTTCTTGTTAGATGTTTGTAGTTTGCTCGAATAAGCGATTTTCCCTTTCCGAGTAGAATTTAACTTCGATTGAGTGGACGCATCTTTGTATAATGGGGTCCGGCGAATTGCCTCGAAGCATGCTTGGAGGTAGGGGCACCAATTGGGACCCCAGCAGATGCCAAAGCTGTGTATTGTCATGTGATAAGGGTTCAATCTTTTGTAATGGAGTGGGTTACCTTGCAATTCGCAGCTCGTTTGAGTTGCAGCCTGTCCTACCGACTTAAGTCGTTCAGTTTGTTGGGTTTTTTGCATGAATCCCATCATTATTTGGCTTTTTTAATTCCTGCTCTTTCTTCGTCTTTGCATTGTACATTGCCGTGGATCCATGCCCATTGGCTTTCATAGTCTAATTTTTACATCTGTTTCCTCAATTTGGTCTCTTTTGAGGTAGCACAAATCGAAAATGTTTCATATCTTAGCGGAGGAGCTTGCACTGTCCGTGGCCTTTCGGCGCGCGTCGCAGACCTTCATGCTGGTTTGATTACAGTCACAGTGACCGTGAAACATTCACATCAGGAGCGCTATTGACCAATTCAATCAAGATTGCACACAAGGGCTAGCGGTCAGAAAACTACGTAGGCCATATTAGGCCTTGGTAATTTTGCCTGATTCTGTTGCCTCATTATAAAGCAAAGAGATTGGAGACATTGTACTCATATAAAATTAGTAGCACGCGTTAAATAAGAAGTGAGAAGATATCCGAGTTAGCGTGAAATTGATAAACTATTCTTCCCTTTTTTTGACGCCTTAAGTCTCTGGTGAACTTTCTTTGCGCTACAAGCTAATTTATGGGCAATTCGCATGAGCGTTTCCTCGAGCCATAAGTTCCTCCACACTGATTGCGCATCATGCCTCGGGAGGATGAAATGGAAGTACGTCAATTTGACAGTAGGTACGGGTGATCTCTACCATTCTCCCAAAGCAGTTGTTCAAGGTCACCTCCATCGAACTATCTTTTAACGAGAAATCAATCCCGCTGTGCAATACAAACCGTCTTAGATAGGATGATAGAATGATACTTCCACTGACTAAATGAATAGACAATAATCTATGCTTTTCCATGAATTAGACAAAAAAATTGTAAAGATTGACTACATTTTTAGAGCACAAGATTTTTTTAGCAGTCAAGAGAATAATGGAGCTAATATTTCTAATGCAGTGTTCAAAAGTAGGCATCATATTTGATATGGCAATAGTAACAACAATGAGGGTTGAATTTACCCGTGGACACTGATTACAGTGGATGAAAAGACGTATCAGATAAGTGAAATCTCTGAAGAGGCTTCGGGCGAACGAATCGCACTTGCTGCGTCGTACCTACAGGAAAAAAGGTGAGTGGGTTTGCGATCGCGTTGGGTCTCCGCCTCTACTTTTTTCGCTCATGCTCATCACCGTTGGCAGTGCAGTAAATAGGCGAAAGCGCTACGACAGTTATTTTGTTAAATCACATTCTCCAAGGGCGAAAAAAAAACAAATTTTTAAACCGTCAAGTATAAGGAACTATTTGTGTATATTTCGTCGGGTAGATGACCAACCTTCACCCTCACTGACGTACCTGCAATGTCTCAAGCAAGCAGATTTAAAAGAGGTCCCTTCACATTCACACCACTAGAACAAGGAGAAATGTGAGGAAGGATCCCAACAACTGCCATCAAGAACCCGTGTTATTGATCGTACCACGTGTGGAATCCACGCGTACAAGCCGTTGAGGCTCTGTGGCGAGAGGTGAGATCATGGGTGCTGGGCAAAGCCAATCCAACGGGAACTATGCTACAGGTGACATCAACACGAATATGGCAACCGCGGTAGAGGCGGAGGATCAAGAGGAGCAGACGAGGCTGACCTGCTGCTGTGTTCGCAGAAAGTGGCCCACATACGGCACCGTGAGTACACCGAAGACTCCCGAGGAGAAGGCCCTCAAAATTTGCAGCTATTATGAACCTCTCGTTGATGCTAGTGTGTTTGCAGGAATTATTCAACAAACCCAAGAGGAATGCAAGGCTCGTAACCAGGAGGAGCAACCACAACCCGAGGGTGAGGAAGCGTGAGGAGACTCTATCATTCCATTTTGTGAGGCGAAAAAAGAAGCCTCACTTCAACTTCTCTATTGTTTCTAAAAACGATCTGTCTAGCATTTGCACAAATGTGTGAATAGATTGAGTTTCATTAAAAAGAGGATCTGACAAAAAGGTGAACTCTTTCCATAACTGTTAATTAGGCACAGTCGGACTTCTAAAGAGCCATCACCCGAAGCCATCTAAGGTAAGATTTTGCCACCACCGTATTTGAGGAGGGTCTAACAAATGGCTCATTTGCATTATCAAGTGGAGAAAAGTTCTCCCTATATAAATTTAAATGTTACATAGGATTAGTAGCCAAGGCTCGAATTACCCCTCACTAAGTCGTGGTGGTTGACTCTGAAACAGGTGAAAGTGGCGAAATGTGTTTAAATGAATCGCACAAATCCTTTTTGCGCTGGCATATCATGACAAAGCACTCGAATATCATACTGACAACATCTAGCAGCCTACTTGGTTCCTAAAGTCTATAATGCTTGATTAAAGCTTCTAAAGCTAGCTGGAGGGGGGTTAATCAGCCCCATCCTGTGTCTACTACACCTCAGGGACCAAAAACTTGCCCCATTTCCAAGTATGTGGCATTGAGGGATTCCAAATCACCGAATTATTCGCGGAATTTATCACTCGGTAAAAATTTGTCGACTGACACATAAAATGTATCACAGTTGACGTGCGACAGAGCGTAGCCTTGTCTGATCACACAGGCATCGTCATCTGACTAGGTCTACCCAACTCTAACACAAAACAAAAAGACTCCTCCTGAGCCTGCGGCAAGGCGGTGCCTCACTAAGCTTTTTTTTACGTCTTTGTCTCTAATGCAAACGTGAAGAAGATGAAAGAGGAGTAGCTCCCTTCAAAGAACGAAAGGAAAACCGGAGAGCCTTCGTCATAGACCTTGGCTCGGTAAAACACTTTCTATGCACACACGGCTGCTTACAGTGATTTGATTAGCAGTTCAAATGAAGGCGACAATTAAAAAGCGATTTACCAGCCACGTGTTCCATAGGGTGAATGATTACTGGTTTTTACTTTTTTATCAAATCACGAGTTAACCAACTACCACCGTTATAAGGTTAGCCTGTGGGAAGTTTAGTTCACACCTCTGCCTAGATTCAATTATCATCTTGCATTAATGAAGCGAATAAGAACTAACTTAATTAGCAAAATCTCGAAGATACGCGCAAATTTTCACTAGGACCCTTACCTACCTCCTCATCCTGCGCGTTCATTGGTTAATACGACTTGGCGCTCTTTTATTGGGTTAGAAATTCATCCAGGAATCTCCAAATTAATGACTTGTATTTCCTCCAAAAATTGTATCAGGGAGAATTTCTGTAGAGCCTGCCAAAATTCCTTAATCCGCATAGTACTTCCAGTGCCTGAAGTTATCTAAAAAGTCGCTGCTTGGAGCGCAAAATGACTAAAGCAATTCCGATTTCTGATTGATAACTAAACTAGGGTGATTGCCATTCTAACTAGCTTATTTTCACCCAAACTGCTTGAAATGACGCATTTCAATCAAAATCATCGACTGTTTTTTAAAGCTCAGAAGATGCGCACCATTCAATCCATATTCTGACTCGACTACTTGCCCCGCATTTTCTCAGGGCGATGGCAGGAGTTGAGTATTTCCAAGCAGCTAAGCTACAGTTGAATTAATTTAATGGCATTAAGAGGAGAAAATATCCTTAATTTCAAGAACCAACTTCGTATCTGTATTGATCACATAAATAAACAAAAAGTCGAACTTGCCTTATTGTGGCAGTGAAATAAGTACAATCAATGGCTAAATTGGCAAGTAAACTTACTTCACTTTACGTGGATGGCGAAAACTAAATCTCCTCCATCGTGGTAGGTGGCTTCATTTGTGACCGTGTCAACACTCGGAAAGGGAGTTAAGGTGACGTTAACAAACCATGCCCGAATTTCACCTCACTAGTAATATACTGAACAATAAAGCAGCAAACTTTTAGAACTACTAGAAATCTTTATCAGAGCAACGAAATAGTTTAAGTGGATGAAGTTTTGAAGGCTCTAGTTGTGGACAGTGACGTAACCTGAGCTCTGCATATCTGCACAGCAACCTCAAAAACTGATCTTCTAGATCGCTCATTTATGTAGTTTGAAGGACTAAGAAGTACAAAGCTACTTGATTCTGTAAGATCCGCACCAATCCTATAATTATTAAAATTTGCCCCAAGTTTTGACTATATACAAGATTGAAAATCTATTTTTTGGTTGAATTTTTGCTTGTCAGTAAGGCCCTGAAAAAATGTAATAAAAAAATTTGTTTTAGGCGGCCTAGATTCAGGTGAACATTTTTAACATTAATTTCTTAAACTTGGATAGTGTGCTTTAAACTCATTCCCCAAATGACAAAGCCAATAATTATGTACATTAAAATCTAATCTTTAGGTTAAAAACAAAAAGGTTGAACAGCACTTTGACTAAAGTTATTGCTATCAGCCATCTTTTTATTAGTTTGTTTATATGCACTTGTTTATCTGGTTGTGTCGACTTGACCCTTACCATAAGCTATGCCTCATTTATAGTAGGCGTCTAGATCTTTTGCCTGCTTAGTGTGTTTGATTTAGTAAGGAGTAAAAAGTTGCTCATCGGGTTTCATCTTCCTTTAATCACGGGAAAGGGTGCCAAGTTTAAATTGCCACGGCGCCGTAGTATCCGAACTGACTCGGGTTTTCGTGACAAAAACCACTGCAAAATATTTTGTCGATGGGCTCCTGCGAGTGGTGCTTTCGATTGACCGACTAGCCGATACCGTGACGGCCCTACTTGGGGTACTAGAGGAGTTGGCATGACTTTAGTGGGGCCTGCAAGGTGAGGGCTACTTTTTATGAAACAAAGTATTCGCTTAACTGCGTTACTTATTTTCATTGGATGGCAGGATTTACAAAGAGCTCATGAAAGCCCCAGCTTTTTGACTACCTTTTAACAGGAAATTTGATGACACACTAACTGATGGTACGCTTACCTACTCAGGGTATTTATCTACCTGGCACAGTGATCAGGGTGTCCTTAATTTTTCTTATCAAAGGAGATCGTGTGAAATGCGTATGCCTAGAAAGTGAGCGCGTTTTGAAAACGACATTAAGAGTTGAACAACTTCCGTTTTCACGGCTTCCAACGCTTCGTTTCGCCTCCAAGTGCCTACTCACTCTACTGCAAAGGTTGGAATACGCATAGTGTGTACTTTTATCTTATTAAGGTGGGATTGCATGCTTGTTCATGCATTCCATGCCTCGAGGGTGCTTTACTTCAGGTTAAGCTGACGTAATATACTCTAATAACAAGGCGAAAACCCTTTTTTCCTATCATATTCCGAAAGTGTTTTAACAATGTGGCTTTGACTAACTCCCAGTTAAGTGGCTGTTAGAAACAGAAAATCCTTTTAATTAATTGAACTCCCCCCTCCCCACCCTCCTTCTCGGCTACCTACTTATGAAATTAAACCGAATTCTGACATCCGGTTCCTTGGTGTCTTTTAACACACCTAATTATCTGCATCCTCCAGCGTACGCGCCTCATCGAAGGCCTTCTTCCTAGGTCCGCGAGTCCTCTTCTTCCAATTACTCCTCGTATTTTGGCCCATTGCTTGAGGAGGTGACACACACACGCCCATGGGTGCTCGGGGAAAAGTAATTGGATTACCACGGCAACGTCGATTTCTTCCGGGTCTAATAACGCCACGACACGACATGCGTGCGTGCGTGCACGCTCGAATCCAACCAATGGGAGGAGAGAGCAGTCCTCTTTTAGAGTCGAGGCAGCAGGCTTTGGATCACTAGGGCTCGTCCCACAATCTCGCATACACATCCCATTCACGCAAACAACTCTGTGGAGGCAAGATGCCAGCTCAAGCTCCGGTTATGTCAAAGCGAATAGGTGGTGAGTTGATGCCATGGTGATTTGATTTCCGTCTACTCTTTGATAATTCCTTCTCCCAGCACCACATTCATTCCTTAAGGCTTTTCCTAATCAAAACTATATAAGGCTGCGCTGTCTATTATGGACATCATGCACATGGAATGCTTTTGAGATGGGTGATGGTTAAAAGAACTGTTTGTAGGCGAGCACACTGATCGAAAGTACCTGGTATTGTGCACAGGTTCTGAAAGCAACCGTCCTTTTTATATTAGGTGCTTTACTTTAAATGAGTTATAAATTGTCAAACCTATGTAAATAGTGACTCCACACTTAAACACTTGTTTGCGATACGGTTGTGGTTAGTGACACCGTATACTGCTGCATCTTACAAGTGAAATCTATTGCCATCTGTAGAGCTTGATTAAAGCCTGAGTATCGGAAGCATTGCTGGGAATAACAAACCGTCAAGGCGGCATGAAAGTACTCGAGTAATTCTCATGGTTAAGTAACATTGAACCATAACTGGCGATGTGGCTTGACATTCCTCTTGAAGAGAAAAAAACCAAAAAGATGCTGTAATTATAATATTAGCCGTAAACAAGACAAAAATTGCAAATTAGCCTCCTTCCATTACGTTAGTTGGACTGCTAATCTCGGATAATTTCACACCGTTGAAAAAAATCTTGCCTCCACAACCAAAAAGGCGTTGGTATTCATTCCACCCTAATAAGAGTAAAGAAGACTCAAAGGCAATCACTCATGTGGGTTTGAAGTGAGGCTGCTCCACCAAAAGCCAAAGGCGTTTAAAAATATGCCAAAAAAAACGGAACACGTGCCGAGGCTAAAAATTGGGCCTCAATGAATTTGTAAGTGATTTAGATTTGGTTCCAGTGAATTGTTTATTGCCTTTTGCAATAATAACGATTTTAAACTGAGAGATCGCACGTACACTGAGGGTGCGTTGGGTCCTTGTGAGGCATGTGCCATTCAACTGTCACCTCCTCCTGACGCCGTGGTCATTCGATGCAATCCACTTAGTGTAGACTAGGTGACTGTGCTCCTACCGCCACTCCTCCCTTCCCCACCCCATTTCACCAGAGGTGACTTTTGCACACAGTTGGCTATTTCTATGGCTTATTTTTTTGTCGTGAGATAGATTGAGGCGTCTACTGAAGTAGTTCCATTTTGCCCAATTCAGATTACCAATACGAAAGATACGACCTCTCGGGTGGCGACTCCTGTAAGTGTGGGAGGTCACATAATAACCTGCATGCGCTCTCCTCAGCTATTCAGCCAAAGTGCAGTCGTCTTGCTGGGCAGAACTACTATCGCTCCTAGATAAGCCCCTAGTGGCAAATCCACCCTCCTCTAGTAGTCAGAGCTATCACAAAAGTCTACAGTCGTGTCACTGCTCCTTGTTTTTCCAATCATATTTATAATGCCATTGCTATCACAACCTCAGGCACGTCAGCTACAGTAAAAAAAAAAATAATTTTTTTCTACAAAAATAATAAAATCTACTCAGCACACCCTTCTAACCCCCATAAACGTTTTGTCTGCGATGACTAACACCTGTAATCCGATCCAATGTCTCTGTGATTATTCTCAACCTCCACTCTAACTCTCAAAGCAAACCTTCCGTCGAAGGTGATCGTGCTTTATGGTAACCAGAAGTTGGTCATTTCTGCTCACTCCTCCCAGAGGCGACTGTTGATGCACCCTGTGAAAATTGCCTCTCTTGCAATCAGGTTGACATGGCAGTGTGATTGAAAACCATGTGGATGATGCAATGAACCAACTGGGAGTGAGTGATTCGGCATCTCAGTGCAGTCAAAAAGCGCTCTGCGTATATGAAAGCCTAACTCTCAGGCATAGTTTTAGGCAAAACAATTCCTTTTTTTCAACAAATCTATTTTGTTCCCTCAAATTATAGGTTTTCAACGTTTTCAGGTTTTTAAAGTCCTTTCACCCCCTTCAAGCCTGATCCTATCATTACTTATTTTCTGACAGGCCGATGCCGTGCCTGTTAATTACCTATTCTCATAATAGCCGTTTACTTTTCAGTTTTTCACATCTTTGCTCTTATTTTTTTTCTTTTGCTCTGTTACTACTATTTACTGGCAATAGCCGACACCCTTATTTGCCATCTTTGAAGGGTGGAAATTATTTGGCGCAGAGTAAATCAAAGTTCACCGCTAACTTTCACCCATAGAGCACATTTTCTTTAATAACCTCCTTAAAGAGACAAACTCTAACTTACTACCCCTTTGCATTACCTCAATTCTTCAAGAGATACTGCCTGGCGCCCGTTTCACAGTTGACAGCCGAATTACAAGCCGATCCCATTACCGACAGAAGTGAACGCCAACCGAGTGTTTCTGTTTCTGTTCATCTTTTTATTTATCCTCACCAGTGAACTATTGTAAGGTGGCGACTGCGACCAGAGGAGCGTTCTTTAGCCTGATTTTTTGTCTTGCCATGCTTTCCCTAACTACGGCGAAAATTTTGCCTCTGCTCACCTCTCCTTTCGCTCAGTTTTCTCTAAATGTCTCGCGCTACTGTTGTGTTTAAAGAAGCGAGACTAGATTTTCGATTAGTACAACGGGAAATTCAGCCATCAGTAAAGTGTATTTATACTGACTACCCAGCCAAGTAGGCTTGAGTAAAAGGCTCCATCAAAAATTGATGCAAATTTTAGCAGTATCAGAGGCAAATTTGACTGTCTATGTATTTCCTTGTGATAAATTTGTCATTTAGCACCAAGAAGAAAGGAAGGTCCAGCCCTTCAACAGCAGGGAGGTAATTATATCTGAAAAATCGCTTGATTTCCTCCTTAATTGCCTTTCATTTACCCAAAGCTAAACGAGTTCTTCCTCTCCTTCCCAGGAGAAAAGAGGGATACTAAGCCCAGTCAAAACAGGCGTCGTCCTCAAGCGGGTTAGCAAATTACAATTAATCAGTTACGAACTTTTTTGCTTATAGTATACTAATTCTATTTTTACATCATCAAGGTCAAGGTTCGGACACCGATTCTGGAAGTGAGTGCGACTTTTTATATTTTTACAGCGGTTCTACGTTTTATCCTACTATAATTCATATTGACGGATGGAAAAAAGAGGCCATAGACCCGGAACTCTCAAATCAGAAGGGCTGCGAGGAATCTACCTAAGTCATGAAGCCAAGCTCACTCCCTTTGCTTCATCTTGAATGAAGTTGTCATTCCACTCATTTGTTTAAGCTGTCTACACATAGACCAATTGCCGCGTGTTTACACTGTCGTTGTCAATCTTTCTAGTCTATCATGTAAGAAGCCATACACTCCTTCAAAGGCGTCAACCACCGCCGAGGTACAACCGACCTGCACGTAAGCCGATATCACTTTTCCATCTCTCGTGTGCCTCACCTGGCACTTCTTGATTTCCTATCACTTATTGGTATGCCAGACTACCCCACAATGCCTTGTAACTGCGCCAGTCGAGACTTCTACACTCACATACCACTTTAAAACTCCATGTGAATTTCAAATTTTGCCCAAAGTAAATTGTTTGTATTTTGACTTTAGGTGATACCTACTTCGACAAGGTGCTCAACAATTCAGAGGCCTCCTCGGAAGAGGGTAGTGAAAATGGTAGATACCATCTTAAAAATTTCTAATTTATCGAGCTTACTGGCCAAGAAAACGCTTCAAATGCAAAAAATGAATAAAGTTTTTACTCTAAGGTTACTCTTTGTTTCTCTAGAAAGTTCATATATCTGTGACGACTGCAAAATGGACTCAGGTATGCCGTAAATGGACGCCAAAGCACTTTTGGCTCTCCATACCTCACCTTAAAACCACTTTTTCCATTTAAATTTACCGTAAAAAATTGGCTTTTACTAATGTTTAATCTCGTTTTGTTTCACAGTTTATGCTATCTTGCAATAACATTCTTTTTCAAGCCAAGCCCTACCTATGCCGGAATTGTAGAATGAATCCAGGCAAGCCCTTAAACACCTCATTGTAATGTTACAACCCTTAACTCCACCAACCTTGACATTTAAAATCTTCTATAAAATAAGTATATAACATCTGGCGTTCGGCTGAATCACCAAAAACGACGAAATATGCGGAAGGGCAGGTTCTCTCTCCCTCAACTTCCACTGATAAAAGGAGCTTTTTGTTCCATAACCAATGCGAAAATACCAAAAACATCTAACCTTACAGAAAATGCAAAACTGATGGATAGGTCAGATGAAATTTGTTGGAGCATTGCCGTCAGAGCCCTCTAACCCATCCTGACTGCTCATTCATTCGCGTAGCACTCAACGTACGAGCATTTTTTGGCCCTCGAAGCAGCAAGTAGTGATAAAGGTGAAGTCACTGCAGACGCCTTTTTTCTCTTTTCGTTTCTACAGTTGGCCAATGGAAGCAGCCAAGATGGCCCAAGCAGGAACGAAACAGTGAGTTGAGCATTTGAAATTAACTATCGAAAAGCTGTGATCCTTTGCTCAAATTAAGCCAAAATCTTTAAACAAATGAGTCATACTTCCCTCTAAAAGTATCCAGCTATGCCGAGACAGTATGAGTGAACGTTACATTCCCATCCTCCGACTTTTCACGTTACAGTGTTGGCTACCGTTGGAGTGGAAAGTGGAAGAAGCAGGGGACAATTAACAGCTAATCTCATTAAGTTAAATTAAATTGGAAGTAATAACATTTACTATGAATGACTTAATAATTCTTAAAAGTATTCAGCTAAAAGGCCAACCAGTTACATTTCAATCACGTGAATTCTACACGTAGGAATCAGTGAGGAGTTAGTGTCTCATTCTCTAAGCCTGAGAATAAAAGGACTCAAAAAATGGTCCACGATCACCACATACCGTAAGATCATAAGGAACGTGTTTGCCTTCAGATGACTACGAGTACTTAGCGGGACGGCCACGAATGTGGCGTCGTAAGTTTCGCCATCCCTCTCTTCCAAATCCGCCTATGCTAAATAAGCTTGCTACCTCGACCACGCGAGCGACTGCTAAAGCAGGAGGTAAACCGCATATCATCACAGTATGATCCACTTTTAGGCGCAGAATACTGTGATCATCGTTGGGATGGCAAGTTGTCAATAACATAAACATAAATATTACGGTGACAAATACTCACCCCTCACAAGTCTTTTTCAAGGCAATAGTCTCGTTACTAACACTTCTTATGGACACTTACCTACCAGTAATCTCCCCTGTGCAACCCCCTTTCATTTGCAAGAAAGGTCTTCCTCTAAGAGCAAGGAATTTTAACCTCGACCCATTTGACTTATGCGACGAGGTTAATTCCATAAGCTTTATAAAAGTGCTTTTTTTACAATTCTATTCATACACAAAAAGATAAAATCAAACTTAACTCCCAGTAACTGGAGGAATGGTAAAAACTCGAGCAGTGAAATTGATAAACACTTTATTAATTTAGATGATGAGTCTGTCTCGGAGGATGGAGGTGCGTTTGAAGCTGTTTCCATGTTAACATACCTCTTAAACCCTGTTTCTTTGTATGATAGAAATGTTGGGTTTAGGTCCGATTCCTTTAATTCATTCAAGATTCCTACACTTGAACCCTTTTAGCTGCTCCTCCTCCTCCTGCAAGAAGAGCCGTGCCAAAACCTCTGGAGAAACCAAGAAGACAGAGTATGCTCTACAGACTAAAGTTTCTGCTGAGTTAGTGTTTTGCAAGTGCTTCTGAAGTAAAACAAAGTTATGCCCTTATTTAGGTGGTCCTCCAAGGAGTCGTGCGCCAAGGCCACAAAAGCCCGATCGTCTAGGTAATTAACCACATGGTTATTATTAATGGCTGTCCCTTTCCTGAACAATACCGTGAATCTTATGAGGACTTACCAAGGGGACAATATCCGCCATTTTCGCATGTCTAATTACACCAAGGTGTGAACTTTTTAGATTACAGCTATGATTCCGAAGACGAATGTGAGTAAATTAAACACAAATTTCTCAAAAAATTCTACAAACATTTTACAGAAGTTCACAAAATACCCCACTTCTTGTTCTCACACAGCTTCGTTTTGTAGCTTGCAACTATTGATATTCACTGCAGTTTTTTTGTTTCTAGACCGACCACAAAATAATAAACCTAGGAAGCCAAGTAAGTGCAAAGTTCTATTGGCTGGTGTATGACCTTTAGAAGTCTGGAGTAAGACGTGGCGACATTTACTCATCACGCCGCCGAGTAGAAACCGCCTTAGTTGAATTTGTTGATACGATCAATTTAAGGCCAAATAGCATCATTAGGCTAGTAAAAGCTGTTTGAGGTAATCCGCTTTTAGCAATGATATGTGAAATGGAGATAATACATTGCAAAAAAACCAGATGTTCGTTTTTTCGAAGGAACTGCCAGATTTTACAACGTTTTTCTTGACAGTTTCCTTAAGAACCTAGGTCTTTTAATAAATTCATTGTTTCATCAGGCTTTTATTAAAGTTAACGTTTTACTCCTTAATTCAAATGAATAAAAACGATAACACAATTTTTTGTGGTTTATTAATCGATTGAGAAGCCTTCACATAGGAATTTGCTTCCCCTTCCTCTAGAGGCAGGAACCCCAAGGGAAAACATTGGCAACGTTAACAGACGAGAGCCCCCACACAACCGGCGGGAACATGGTAATCCTTTTTTACATAGGTTATACATTAGATATGTGGTTCGATTAGCCGCAATCCTTGTTGTGCCCTCTTGCTTTAGAATACTCCGACCTGCAAGGCGACGAAGACGATTATAACAGTGAGTACCTGTACTTCATTACAAACTACGGATTTTGCAAAAGAATAAAGAGCGAATAAAAGTGGATGAGAGAAGTACTTTTGATTCATATCCCTCCTCATTACACTGCAGATAAGCAGGGCGCTTTGCATTCCGAGTAAATACATTCTTAGTTAGAAATTGTGGGTGGGATTGGATGCAAAATTGTGTTTTGTAATAGGAGAACCCAATTATTAACAGCTAAGTTAATTCGTCTTTTTGCAGGTGAACCCTCAGCTGAGGTGCCACCACGACGAAGATCAGGTAAGATAACTGCGTTACTAATTGAGTCAAATCTTTTGCTTGCTTGATAACTGATTCACCAGAGCTGTTTGTGAGTGTATGCCAATTGGATATCGGTATGTTAAACAGAAGTTGTTGCTATGTCATGCACTTTGTCACACTTGAGAACGCCTATGTTTTTACCACTTGGTGGTTGCAATGATACTCGAGTGCGAACCACCTCCATACTCATTAGTGACTCAAAGTTTAATCGAATTACACGGTTTTTAGCGGCAGCGCTGTCATTGAGGCTTGCCCGTGGAGGAAAAGCCATTTCCAAGAGTTCGAGTTGCTCGTTTTTGCCATAAAAATTACACTACTACTTAACAGAATGTGGCATTAGTGTCTATTAAATGGTGATATTTGCCTAAATAGGTCCGCGAGGCAAAGATTACAATAGAAAACCATGTAAGTAAATCAACTGTCAGTCCGCATGAGTGTCGAAGCTTTCCTAATCCTTAAGTGAATTGACGTACCCCTTCATCCGGCAATTTCGACACTTCCACTTTCAGTCTCACATTAACTACGATTTCCTCCGTGCTATAATGGTCTTTGAAATTAGCTACCAATAACCTACTGACTGTAACAGGCTGAAATAAAAAAACGCAACCATTTTGGGTTCAATTTTTTTCAGCGCACTCCGAGGGTCCACCGCGGCGTAGCAAACAACGTGCGTTTCTTTACGCTTTTAAGTGCATTTTGATTTTACTGATGGATTTGCAAGCAACGTGTTTGCAGTTTTCGCAACTGCAATCATGTCTACTGTGCGATAATAAGTAGTGTTTCAGTTTCAAATACTGCACAGAGGGACTAGGGTAATTCATTCGTTAGACGTAAAAATCCCCTAACAAGTTTACGATATTTTTCTACAAAAGGCTATAGAGGTGGGTTTATTCTTTGACCTAAAAGCGTGTTATCTAAGGGCCGTGACTTGCACTGAAGGTTTGGACCTTTAATAACGTAACCTCCGTTTCCCGCACCGCCCTTGCTGGAGCATGATTATGCAATGGCATGTGAATTTGGGATAATCTAACATGCTGCTACGTTGTGCCTTTACAAAGACTGCGAATTTTTATGGTATGGTTAGTAAGTACCCAAAAATATTGTTTCTGTTTGACTTTGACAGAGGTTGTTGAACGCAAAACAACAACTCGTCCGTGTAAGTCAATGTTTTGCTAACTGCTCGCTAGATGACGGGGTGCTTTGTGTTCAAAAAAAATTTATATTTTTTCCAGCAAGACAGAACAATGAAGACGACGTTAAAATAAGTAAGTGATTGCATGCAAAGGGAAACAATGGCTTGCGTTCGCAATGTTTAGTACTTACTTGAAGTTAATCTGTTTTTAGGACGAAAGCCAATTACTGATGACTTTTCATCGGAGTCATGTATGTCCCTATTAGCAACCGATCTACGCAGTAAAATGCGTAAATAGTTTGCTTCTGTTTATTACAAATTTCCTCTTGCTTCAGGGTCTGAACCATCAGAACACTCAGAGAACTCTGAAGAAACCTGTGAGTGCCACCCTCACTTTGGTTTGTTGTATTTTATTCGGACTTTATTACAACAATTTGACGTCTGTTATTCCTCCCGCCTTATAGATGAGCACGTAGAGCGCACACGTCGCCCCTCACGCAGACCGCCTAGAAAGGGTTCGACATTTTTGTCTGTTACCGTGCATAAATTTAGCCCAGTTTGATTTGTCAAATCTGTTGCAGTTTATACACAATATCAAGTGCTTCCACTCGCGTATATTGTAGAACACTTCCAGTATGAAGATGATGAGCCACAGAGGCATCAGTACCGACCACGTGAGGGAAAACCCCAATGTTTATTGTTTAATATAAACTTAATAAAAACTTGCTTATTTAAAAAGCAAAGCGAATTCTAATAATGATATTTGGTTGCACCGAGATTTCATGCTTGATCTTGAATAACTGTTTATTACATATATTAATATTACAAATGCTTTTTCTTTGCACAAATCTAGATCGCCCGCAGAAGGGCAAACCGCAGGGTCCCCCTCCAGGGGCTACGGGTAATTGCTCATTGACCTTCCACTTCTCTTTGTCATTTTCTTCGGTGTTAGTCTACTAACTTTACTGCAGCCATAGTAATGGACAGGATTGAATATAATCACTTACATGTTTTTGTCATGGAAAGTTATTGCATCCCATGCCAAACAATTCTTTCTCATTTTTCAGTAGGAAGACGTATGGTCAACAACAACGACGTAAGTGACATACTGACTTGCACTGAGTCATATCTTGACTATGCGAGTACACAGCTCATCTACAATTTGAAATTATTAAATTCGCTGCAAAGAATTTTGAAGAGGGTGATTAAAACACCAACCTCATTTCCTCCAAAATTCTCAAATTTCCGTTTCTATGTGCACAAATCCAAAAAACGTGACTTAACTCACACCATACTTGGCTAAGAGAATTCGACGCTGAAAAGTCACCTAACCCCTTTATTTTCCACTTTCTTTAAGCCCAAAATTCGCTCTACTGGTGCACGAACTTCGAATAGCGTAAGCTGCGTTTAAACCCTGGGAATGCTAAAAGTCGTGTTGTTGCGATTGGCCTTAAATTTGCACGATTTTTCTTGTAGAGGGCGTAAGGAGCTAAAGGCACATGAGCACTTCATCGGTGCTTGAAGCCACTATCCGCCCTTTTCTTGCTGAACGCTAATGCTTCATTTCACCTTTCACATACGAATGTAGACCAACACCCACCCCCTCCATACACACACACACGCACACACACACACACACACACAATTCGTCTGACTAATCCTCCAATCTTTTTAAAGTCGCCTCTGTTTTTCAAACGATGAATCTTCAAAGTGTATTTGATTTGTGCCAGTCTTGATAGAAATAAATGGAACCGTGTTCTCCGTTTTCCTTTTGTGTCCCGCCAGATGCGGTCGCACCGTCGCACTGAGAAATTTTTAGGGAATGACAACTGCGGTCTGAAAATAATTTAATATCCGGTAAATTCCAAATCATGCTTGAAATGCATTAAAATTATTATAAGGACTATGAAAGAGTTAAAAGATAAATCTGAAGATAAAATAGCATTCATCTTTTGCGGAGCGGCAGCCTGCATGTTCGCTTTCGGTGACCCTAACTTCCCAGCTCTGCCTACGACCTCGCGATTCCTCTGTACGTTAACAACTCATCCAATTCCAATTTTACCGTGAGACATTGTTATTTCAAAAAACAACAATACGGTGGCTTAGAAATATTGCGTTTTTACTAAAAATAAGAAAAAACTACGAAAAAAATATTTGAACGCAGCTTCCGATTTTTAAGATAAAAAGGATTTTTGTACGACTTTTTGGTGATAGAGTAGTTGGATTGCGCAGAACGCCACAACAATGCAACTGGTATTTTCCTAGGGCTCGCTTAGACATTCATTAATCACAACTTGAATCAAAATTGATGCTAACTACCTTGTGCCTGCTTAATTGACTTATGGAAGCACCCAGTCTCTGAATTTTTGCATGTTGAGGCGTCTTTAAGGAGGGGGAGGGGGGAAGAAGAGAAGGCGAATTGCGCACACTAAGTACGTAAAATTGCAATGAAAGTAATGAGCACAGAGCACGACTCTTGGGAGTGGAGAAAGGAAACACGATCCACCTTGTGTTCCTGGGTGGCGCGTTATGCGGTCCAAGGGAAAAGCGATAGCACAGACATCGTCTTGATTAACTTCATCACCTAAAACCACTGACGACTGGGTCATGGAAGAAATCGCATCGGAGTAAGTAGACGCAAGAGACGATCTTCCATTTAAGAAGAGGGGTACTAAAAGATCCTCTCTAAGGGGAAAGCAGCAGTACGGTAATACCGCTAACATTAATAAAGCCCATAAAACGCAGTTATTTCATATGGGAGGGGAACAATCACAAGCCGAGTTATAAAGGCAGTCATGACGAGGTGGCACAAATTAAATAAGCGTTTCAAGAGGGCCGTCGGGTCGTGGCTCACACTCCAGTTAGTGGTGTGATACAGGGTGAGGTGGCCCAGCGTACATGCAACATAAATTAGCGCATACGTTAATGCCAAAAAAGTGCAATTAGGGAGCTTATAACACCATTATTTACTCATTAAAAGAATGTTGACTGTTTTAATTGGTTAATCACTGAAAATGATTGAATCACCTTCATGAAATTTATTGTCTAGACTTGTCGCACTAGGTTTCGCTTGCTCAAGCCTCCTAGTGAATGTAAACTCTGTGTTAAAAATACATTAATAAACAAGATGAAATAAAATGACTAACTTTCCATTGACCTGCCAAAGTAAATGAGTAATCAAGTGCACTGGTAGCTTTCAAAGAATTTTCGTGGTCTCAAGCTCAAAAGACTGCTGTATTTCTATCAAGATAACACATAGGTCTCTTTGTCGTAGGTAGTTTTTTTTACTAAAGTACCGGAGGGCTGGGGGTCCAAAGTACGGAGAGGAGGTCATGTCGTCGGGCGAAGCACAATCTCTGAAGACTGAGGCTCCCGTGTAATCCAAATGTGGAGTTAAGCAAACTATCAACGCAATTCATTATAATGAAACATCAAAATTTGGAGAAGGCTCTTAAAAAACAATCATAAATATTAACTTCAAAGCCATATTTTTGAAAAAAAGCAACATTCATGACATTTCATTTGTTTGCTAAACCTGTTAATAGAAAATGATTTCTTTTTAATAAATCACTCCAGACTAATGTAATTACCGACCCCTTGTCTCATTTGTTTGGGAGTCAAAATGGCATTAACTTTTCGTTCTCATGAAAGGTTGACATTCCTTCGTCTAGGTTTGAAATGTTTATCCACTGGCATCTACTGAATACCAAAAGTAGCATGAGAGTCCACTTTTCTTAAAAAATGACTGCAGAAACTGAGGCTAAAGACAAATGGCTTGACGTGATTACACTTAAAAGGGGATTCTTCCTAATAGTTTAGTATGTGTTTGAGGCAAGGGTGAGCTACTTACTGATAGACCTAACGACCTCCTGCTTTAGTGGGTGGATTACCTCTCCATTTAGGAGCCTAATCCGCCAAATTTATTCAATTCCGTGTGCCAACCCCCTTCGAAAAACAAATTTGTCTCCCAAAACATAGAAGTTTAACTATGCCAAGGAAGTGGGTTGCTTGGGAGAAACCTTACTTAGAACGGATTACGAGGTCCGTGTTCCATGTGTACGGGTAAGATGATTTGCCCTGGAAGGCAAGTTTTGGGCCGCATTTATAAATGACTTCACAACTGCAAAGTTAATCGAGTTTGGTGTGTTGTAATGGACTGAATATCTTAATAAAGACCCACCTTTTATACCAAATATAGCTAAATTTGTGCTTAAGAAGTCAGTCCTGGGGATAGATTTTAGTAACCGTATGAAATCTAGATATCATAAATGTGTAGGAAAAGGTTGCCGTCAGTGAAAATTCAGGTTTTGTGTCTTGTCATTTGCATATTTTAATACCGCAATTGATTCGTTGAGCAGTGGATTTACCACACTGCCTTGGAAGTGAATACTATTGTCTCACGGGCGTCAAAATGGCCTTTCATTTTCATTTGCAGCCAGGTAGAATTGACTCAGTTTTTCTCATTGAAGCCAACATTTCCATGTTGCATTAAGTTCTCTCTTGATGAATTAGAAGAAAACTAAACATCTTTAGGTGGGTCTTAGGTAATAGATCACTTAGAGGTAGTAATTGAAGAGGAGAGTAGTTTGTTTTTGCACACAATGAAGTAGAACGCACCAATGACACTGAAGCGCATGTGAATGAATGTTGGAATTTACTTACAGCCATTTTTCGTGCATAACGAAAACAGTTTTTTGACTAGTCTTAGGCACTCGTGTGCTTATGAAAAGGGAGTGGCAATTTAACCGGAAGCGCTGTGGACTGACTCCTTGTCTATGGCACGACTCATCTCACTGTGCCATGGAAGCCTGACCCTTTTGAGAATATTATCACCCCCCAGACAAACCGAAACGTGCATAAAATTCAAGTTTTTTAATAATGGTAAGTGGTTGCTCACTAGTAGGTCATTTCTAACTCAACTAGTTCCTTTCACTCAAACTGGAATGATTTACTTCCCTTCGGATGCACACGAAGGCGGGTTCCATTCGATAAACAGAAAAGGACTTTTGAGGTTCCCGAAATTTCGTTTGGCAGAACTGCCCTAGGTTGTGTAATCCAGTTCACTAAGATGCGCGGAAATTTAGAGAGCATCTGAATTTCCCTGAGTTATTTCAAATATTTTCTCTTACTGGTAGGTCTAAAACGACCTTTACACCCTTAGACAAAGGAAAAAAGCAAGCTTTAGCCAATTTTTAAAGGTTCTTCAAAATACAATGAAACTTGTCCCATGAATAAATTCATTATTTGTGAGCAACCTGGTTGTCTACCACGTCCTTCTAAAAGTCCATCATAAAAAGCTTGCAAAATTGAGGGGATTTAGTATGAATGAGCTCATTATACAGTATCAAGAAAGTAAAACTTCCACTCCAGTCAATAAAAACAAGATGGAGTTCAAAAGTCTCTTAGCTGTAGTTAACCCGAGAAAGATTTCACCACGAATTTCCTTTGAATGTTAATTTGCTTTAAGACATTTAAGGATAAAGAAATTGCACCGCAGTTGCATTTATGACAATTTTTGGGTATTTTAAGAATTTCTTATGAAAAAAAAAGTTCTTTTCTTTCTCTCGGAATTTGCGATTCGTAAGCAGCTTCGAATATTACCTGGCGAAGCCTGAGAAAAACGCCAACTTTATGTTGCGCCAGTCCTACTTCTGCGTTTTGAATTCAGTGGCAAATCAAGCAGTCCCGGAAAAAATGTACAAGATGGAGAAATTAAAGGGATGAAGCTCCGCTATAGCGTAGATTTACTTCACATTCCAGTGAATTATTCGTTTACAGTGCAAACGAATGGGCTACCATAATGTCACTGCCTTGACAACAGACAATGCATGCAATGTGACAGGTGAAATAATCATGACTTTTTTGAGAAGATGAACAACTTTTTGCTCTTGACGGTAGGTAACGGCTACATAGCAGCAGTGACATTGTCATTCAAGACTACTTTGTGTGTTTGGTTGCCTGAAAGAAAATTTTTGGCTAGATGGTATGTGAAGCAGTGCAAAAGGGGGTGGTGTTCAATGTCACCCGTTAAAACAGGTCGCATTTAAACCCGATCTCTGGTAAATATGTGTCTCAATTAAAAAAGCACATGATTTTATTCTAAATTATTCGAAATGTGGGAAGTAGGGTGTTCTCGAATTGCAATATGACGTAGTGCGCATGCAGGTTTCAACAAGGCACTGCCCGCAGAAACCTAACCAATCCTTCTTGTGGATCGTGAGGTATGCGATGCGGAAACGTGACATCTACCTTGGACAATCATACCCAGAAAGAAAACAAATCATGCGGGAAGCTACGTTTTTTTAATGTGTCGTAGTTGTCGTGGCTCAGCACATTTAGGTTTTGCAAGGAAAAGGAAAACTTAGCCGGAGGAGCAATAGTAGCGATACATGCGCCATTCCTTAAGTCAAAACGGGAGTGGCGGCGGACCAGGTCAGTAACAATCAGGAGTGACGAAAGGATGACCTATACAAGAAAGTAAACGAGTAGTCGTTTGAGCAAAACAGCACAAAATGGGGAAATGTTATGCTTATTAATTCACATCGCACCCTCATGACATAATTGTTATTTTTGCAGACAAAATTATATTTTTGGATGATATACAAATCTTTCAATGGTAGATCGATCACCCAGTACCCTCATTAATTGACACTGACAGTTAGACAACCGATTCTCTCACCATATTTAAATCACGTCGGACATCATTAAAATCCACGCCGAGGGTGGAAAATTTTGTCCTTAAAATCGGAATATAACGCCTATCAAATTAATCGAAACGGAAAATATGGGTGGCATTTACCTCGCTCTCCCAACTTGATGCAACGCGGAATATATGCCCGGAATTAAAGCTTCCTCACAAGCACTCAAAGGATGACCTATTCGAATTTTATAGCCACTATTCTAGCCTACCAGTCTGTCAATAAAATTAGATTTAGTCCGACAATCTACCCACCCTACTACCTT